GTAATTGCCAATTTCAGTTATAGATGTCTCTCACTTCCATTTTTATGATATCCGTAAATGTTATATTATAAAATTATTATTATTATTATTATTATTATTATTATTATTATTATTATGTTATTTTTTATTATCCGTGAATGTTAGCAACTGGACAAATTGTATGCAGCGGTCAAGGAAAAGCGACCAGAATTGGTCAATCGTAAAGGTGTCATTTTCCAGCAGGACAATGCTAGGCCGCACACGTCTTTGTCCACTCGGCAAAAATTGATGGATATTGCTTGGGAATTGATGTTACACCCACCATATAGCCCTGATCTCGCGCCATCGGATTACCACTTATTTCGATCCCTGGACAACTCCCTTCGTGGTAAAACTTTTAACGATGATATCGCTGTAAAATCTCACTTAACTCGGTTTTTGGCCGAAAAGGATCAGACTTTCTACGAGCGTGGAATTTTCAAGTTGTCAGAGAGATGGCAAAAGGTCATCGAACAAAATGGAAAATACATTACAGATTAAACTTCGTTCCAAGTAAAAAAATTTTTTATTTCATTGAACAAATCGGCAATTACTTAGTTGCCAACCCAATACATATATTAATTATATCATTGAACGTTTCATTCTAACGAAATAAACAAAGGTACTGTAGTATCGTGGTGGCTACTTTAGCTGCTGTAATTATACGACAATACGTTCGCGTGCTGACGAGATGTAATTTACTCTATTTAGTTCTATTCACAACGTGAGATTTTATTGGGCAGATAATAATCGACTGAAACGATAAGCTAACGGAGAGTGTGTTATTGTGTCGAATGCCATAACGATGCGACCCGCGGGTATAACAAAACGCATGTACGTGCGAGGATACACGTACCGTAAGAAAAAGTAAAATCCTCCATGGCTTCGCTCTGTTCTCGCATCCGTTCAGCAAGGTTTACCATTAATTTCACCGACCTTGGCCAGATGTCTGTCAAAAGTCGAGATTCGGAAACACCAACAGTTTAGTTTGTTGTACGAGAGAATATACAATTGCGCTAAGAATTCTATCGTGTCTACGATATCTTTCCTTATTTTTTTTTTAATGTTAGATTTAGATTGCAATATCTAAAGAGATAAAAATAGATAAAAGTAAATAGATAAAAATATATAAAAATAAATAGATAAAAATATATATATATATATATTTTTATCTATTTTCATCTATTTTCATCTCTTTAGATATTTCAATCTAACATTTTCGTTCCTCTTTGAATTCAGATATTTTTTTATGCAACAACTAAATATAATATTTAAAAAAAACGAAGATAGTTATATATATATATAGATCTATATATATACTTTATATATATAACTATTAAAAAATATATATATAACTTAAATAACTATAACTATAATTTTAAAAAAACGAGGATAGTTATATATATAGATCTATATATGTAACTATAAAAAAATATATGTAACTTAAATAACTATAATAACTATAACAATAACTTAAAAAAAACGAGGATAGTTATATATATAGATCTATATATATACTTAAATATTATATTTAGTTGTTGCATAAGAAAATATCTGAATTCAAAGAGGAACGAAAATGTTAGATTGAAAAATCTAAAGAGATAAAAATAGATGAAAATAGATGAAAATAGATCGAAATATGTAAATTCAACGAGGAAGAAAATATCGAACCACTTTCATTGCCATTGAGAACCAAAAGAAACGCCGTCGGCAGACATCGAGCAGAGCGTAGGTGTAAGTCCCTGCCATATTTGGGTCACGGTATGGGCAAGAAGTTCTTCCCTCCGACACGACAAGTTTCGGTATAACCAGTATCGGTGTTAGTCGTAATCGTACACCGCGTCCTTGAATCGAACAAAAACTAATAAGAGCCGCGAGGGAGCCGTGTGTTTCGCTTAATCGCATTCCAGTAGCCGAAATATCGTAATTAGGCGCGATGTTCGCGATCACGTAGCTTCCCGCTCGTTCTCGGAAAAAGTTAAAGCCGGTTATCATTATCGCGAGAATGACGAGGAGGTACACGCGCGCGTTTCGGTGACCCATGACCCTCCCTAATCGTTGCACCCTCCCGAATCAGTTAATAAAGCGAGTGTGTCCGTTCCACAAGATCTATACAAACAACGTAACGATTCCGAACGATCTAACGATGTCACTGCGTACACGCGAACAGAGTGCACAAATGAAAATGTTGATCGATAATTAGGAAATGTATCGCATAATCCTCGGCATATTGTGCTCCTCGTCTACTAATTCCGTAAGTACCGTAACAAGGTAGAAGACGGGCCGGAAGTGAACAGTTTCGGCAGTCAAATTCTATCGTAGCGCGCGCCGCCTCGGAGTCGGTTTAAATAATTGTTTCCGCCGCGTCTTAAAAGGACGCAAATTGATACAAACGCATTACCGGTCGCGGACACGGGGTTTAATATTCCCGCGCTGTCCGTCCGATACTGTAGGTATATGTAGGTATAACACCTGCGGAATCCGGAGAATGACAATGCAAAGACTCCCGCATCACAGATTCCGCCGGCGAAACGGCGGGTAGCGTAAACGATCGGCGCGTACGCAGCGCAAGCTAATGATGCCATTAACCTTGAGTGGATTGATACCATTGAACCGTTCTCGAAACTGTTTAATTAGGTAAGAAAGAGTCGATTTACTTAATGAAAGAGCTTGCGGGACGTCTCTCGCGCCGCCGATGCTTACCGCAACTGTGTCTTAGCGATTGCGTCTTCTGTTGCATATGATCGATTACGTAAACGAAATAAAACGGTTGCATTCAGTGAAAGAATTATAAATGAACCGTCTAATTAACCCCTTAATGCACAGTTTTTTTGAAAAAGACCGGCCAAAAAAAATCAATTTCTTTTAATGTAAAAAAACAATTTTGAACGTTGTCTTGGCAAGAAAATTGCAAAAATACAAAAATAATCAAAATTTTTATTGCAATTCTAATTTTCAGAATATTACTATTATTATTATTGTTATTATTATTATTATTATTATATTTTATTTTACATTATATTTTAGTAAAATATATATTGAAAAATGAGCGAATCAGAATCTGAATACGAATACGCTGTCGGAAAGCGGCTCCCAAGGTAGAGGTAAGTCGTAAGTGATAAGTAGAAACAGGATATATTTTATACTTGAATAAGTAAGTGTTATAGCTTATACAATCCCATGTAAATGATAAATATCAATAAAACGATTGTTTTTTTTTGCTTTCACATTGTTATTTTCAATTCTCGATTGCATTCGAGTGTGAAAAATTATAGCAACATAAAGTACAACGTCGCTCGAATTATCCCGAGTGTGCACAGTTTGGCCAGTTTAGCGCGCTCGAGTTAACTCGAGCGTGCACGTAAGGGGTTAAGCCTGTCTCTTATACACATCTAGATGTGTATAAGAGACAGGCTTAACCCCTTACGTGCACGCTCGAGTTAACTCGAGCGTGCACGTAAGGGGTTAAGCCTGTCTCTTATACACATCTAGATGTGTATAAGAGACAGGCTTAACCCCTTACGTGCACGCTCGAGTTAACTCGAGCGTGCACGTAAGGGGTTAAGCCTGTCTCTTATACACATCTAGATGTGTATAAGAGACAGGCTTAACCCCTTACGTGCACGCTCGAGTTAACTCGAGCGTGCACGTAAGGGGTTAAGCCAAGAAGAGGATGCCACCTAAGGAGATCTAAGAGGAGAACTCATATCTTACAGATGCCAATTAAAATTTTATCAAGGTTCTGACAGAATGTTCGATCATTTTTTTAATTTGGTCAGTGAGACATCGGATAAAAAGAACTTCGTTAATGCTTGCAACATGAAAGACGATTGAATCTCGTCTAATCTTATATTAGACACGGCCAACCGAGCGAGTTAACCAAGGAAACGTACCAACGTCTAGAAGACGTTAAGTGGTGCTGTCATTGTCATTGGTGTTCAGATCGATCGAAGTCGCTCGAATCGGTTGAAAAATGGGTCGGGTTCGTACGTAAAATACAGCAAACGTAATACGAGCGTTATCGCGTGGAGATAAAACCTACGAAGATTGTTGGACCGAGAAACTCGCTCGTCTTGCTCTCTCGTTTATATCTGGAGGAGCTTAGTTTCACCAAAAACGCACGTAACAAATCTTCTGGTCTCTACGATCGTTCATAAAATTGATAATTTGTCAAGCAACTGACGTCATTTGAACGCGATAATAAGAGGAGACATTTTTTTTAAGATCACCGACGACACTTCGAGAATACCGTTTACTTTCAGTGACACGAACGAGCGGCTGAAATGTTTCTACAGTAAAATGATTACGAAGATTTATGATCATTCGTGTATCATTCATTGCTTAGCTTCTGTTCTTGCAATCGATGCAGAACATTCTTGTTTCGCATCAAGATTTGTTACAGGACAAAAAATAAAAAGCAGACTGAGAATTAATCCGCACAAATTTTGAGAAATGTATTTATAGCATTGTATGTATATATGAAATTGTTTCGCTGATTCGGGTTAGCCATTTTATAGATCGTCTAAAAATAGCTGGTGAAAGTGGCCGCCGATAAAATTTCTCGCAGGTATAAGAAATCTCACCCTACGTACCCTCCGAACGAAGTTATCGAGAATCTTGACTTACCTTTTGATAGACGAAGGGCCTCGTCAAGGCCAGCCACCTTTCCGCCGCCATCACGATCGCTACGCAACCGCTGAATAAACCGAATAGCCTCCATACAACACGAAGGGAGCAAAACCCTCTGGTGGATATCACGCTGCCAACGTATATTGTAATGTACATCTGCACTAGCATCCCCAACAGAGCAACCAGATCGTTCGTTGCCAGACAGCGCAGCATCAACAGGTGCTTCGGGTTTCTCCTCTGCAAAATGTAATACGTTTCTCTTATGCTTGTACAGATCTTAGTCATTTTCTCTTGGTGTTTGAATATTTCGGGGCTAACATTCTATTCTCTTCGTCTCATTTTCTTACTGTATAAATGTAATATTTTACGAACGAATGCACGATAAATTTAACGATCGAAAGTTCCCCCGCGCAACGAACCCCTAAAACTTAAGGCACAACTCGTTTTGCTGTTCCACGGAGTAAAAGAGACGAACATGCTGAATCTCGTAAATTTTTTATGACGTGCCGTATATTTAGATTGCGGACCTGCATACATTCGTACAGAATTTTCCCTCGTTTTACTTTTTGTAACATTCAGCATGGAAATGGAAATTTACATGACGATCCGCAATTTACTCATACAATTGTAAAATTTGCGGTGTATCTTTCATTCGTGGCTCGATAAAAGGCCAGAAAGCCTTTTTTGTCAATCTCTAATTGACAAAAATGGTTGTAAAGGGGAAAATTCCATCCTCAAATCTGCTATTATAGATGCAATAGTGACAAAAATTGTCTAGCGTCTTCCGAAACTTCGCAATTTGCAATAAATACAATAGAAATATGTATAAACATAGAAATACGTTTGCGCAAATATTTGCAGTTCGCAACCGCATAATATTATTATTTTCTGATTGCTACGAGTGCCATACTATAAATATCGAAGATCGAATTATACCGCACCCTTTCCCAGAAAATGGTAAATACGTTCGAAATAGCCGGAAAAGAAAACGATTAATTAAACCGGTAACAATTAGCCAGCCGATCGACGCAATTACCTTATCACGATGGAAAAGAATGATGAGGGCCGACACGTTGCCGATCACTCCGGTTATGTACACAAGGGTGAGCACAACTTGAGCGACGACAGTCACGTGCCGTTTTGGCGGGTTCAAGATGATGTTCGGCACCGTCGTGGTCGAGTACAATCCCAACATCGACAAGGTCTCGTTCCACTCCTCCGTCGAGGTGAGCGACATTTTTTTACGAGCCTCGCAATAACCAACAGATCGACGATAATCGATCGATACTATAGATCCCCGGATAACGTCAGATAACGCGCTCAGATTATCGTCGATCGCCGATGCAGTGATTCAGAGATCTCAATATTTATAAAAATCGATCACCGTCGCAGTGATGCAGAAATCTCAACATTTACAAAGATCGATCACCGTTGCTCGTAATCGTTTGTAAATTTGTGTCCGACAGTGTTTTGTCTTTCCTACGTGAAAACCGGCGAGCAGATCTGACCACCGATTTTCCGATTAGAGGGCATAGTTATCGTTCCAAAGTCAAACCGATTGCCGTAGTGACACTCGACGGCTCCCAGTTATCAATGTACCTTTGGTACTTTATTATCGCATCGTTCACTCTCCCTTTCTCTCTCTCCCTCTCTCACTCTTTTTCTCGCGCGCTGTTGCTCTCCACAGACTTGACTGCGCAGTGTCGAGTTTCCCAGGAAACTTGACAACGTTGGGCCTGGACCCTTCTCTGAGGCTACCTGCAGTCCCGGGGCCCTTTTCAATTTCCAAGCTCGCTGACACAAGCAGCAGGTCACAGCCGGGGAAACCGATCCAGTTGCTCCTCCAGCGATCCGAGTGAAACCCAACTAAAAAACCAGTCTTCTTCTTGGAGACTTTTTCCAGTTACAAACGCGGTTGCATCTTTCTCTAACCGATCGTGATACTTGAACAGCACTTTGGAGATCGCCCAGCACTTCCTCCGTTTAGAGATTTTTCGTTTGATTTTCGTTTTGGTGCGTGATAGTTTTAATCCTTCTTTCGCGGACTCGAAGTGCGCGCGGACAGGATGGATCGACTGTCGATGGAATTTTAATTCGAAATTCTTCTAGGACCTCGATCACTGTCCCCCGATCGGAATCGCCGTTCCTGTCGATAGCTCGACAGCAGTTCTTCTCGTCGCAGGGTGATCGATTGCCGGAGAATTAACGATGCGAACCTGCGATACGTCCGATCGAGCTCGATGATGGGAGGAAGAATAGGGGGGGAAAATAGTTTCACTGACTCCTACGACTGTGAGAGTCGTCGGCTCACTGATCCGAACCACGCGGTCGCCTCCGGTTTTGTTTACAATCCAACGCTCCCCCATACGCGCGCCTGCGCCCGATTTTGAAGGCGACGCCGCGCCGCTTTGGCGCCACATTTCCGTAACACCCTCCACGGAATTTTTCTTCCGTTATTTAATATGTGTTATTACATTAACACTGTGCCGTCCCGACAGATTCACGAGTTTCCTTCAGTTAAAGTAATTCGTTTAACAAAATAAGAAATCGACATCTTTCGACTTTGCAGATGCTAACATTGGCACAATGAATGAATATATTATAATATTAGTCGATTCGTTCGCGAAAAAGATATTCCTACGTTTTAGACGACGCTTTAATTTCTATTATTTTCGAGTAATATGTTCATTATAACTATAGTTACAATTAATAAAATGATGTAACAGATAATAGTACCTGTATGCAATAAATTGACATGGAATAGTGTGAATAATAATAAATATAGTGAATATTATTATTATATTATTATTAATATTATATTATATATTATTATTATATTATTATTAATATTATATTATATATATAATATTATATTATTATTAGTTTATATTATATAATAGTGAATAATAATAAATAGCAAATAATAGTATAATAATAAATCTAATTCGTGTCGTATATAATATATATTTGTAGATGCAAATATACAGAATTGTTATGTGATTAACGTACGTTACAGAGTTTTCGAATAAGGGTGGCACATAAAAAATAATTGGCGACTGCGTGATCGCAAGCCTAACGTTAAACGCAACAGCATTTCGTCGGTATGCAGATAGTGATAAATAATGCATCGTACATATACTTTTTTCGTATACAACACGGCACATTCGCCATTCACATTGATAAATAATTTCACGCACGCTGCGATAAAGGCTCGTTGTTTGTACTCGGTAAACACTATCCTCCTCAAGGATGCAGGACACACGAAAGAAGGGATTCCGCTTACGAATGGCGGCGATCTTTGTAGAGATTAGTCAAGATTTGGAATCGTTCCAGAGAAAGCAGTGTCGAGATTACCAATCATATCATTGGTTTTATTTTCAGTTGTTTATGTTGTACGTCCCTTATATATTTTTCTCTTCTATATCATCATCTTTACATTTAACAGAAAAGAAGTTTCACTCTCATTATCGTTAAAGAAAACGATATCTTCACTGTCTAAATCACTCTAGGCTATATAATTAAAAAATTATATAAAAAATACAGGTTATTACAATCAATTATAATAATTACAATTAAATAAAATAATTATAGTTAATATAATTATTATATAGTGATTACCATGTAATTTAATATCATTCAGAAAATTAAACAAATCGAGTTTATTATACTAATTTCCACTAGTGCTGTCACTAAACGTAGAAAAATGCTAATCGCGAGAAAATATTTCGGACGAAAGCGGGTTATATGCAATTTGTGCCGCCGGATAGAGGTCACCACGTGTTCATTGAATTGTCTCGAGTTGAATGAACTTTTATGTGCCTGCGAGACGACCGATAATTGATGTCTTTTTTATCCAATTTATTACGGGTACCACAGGCTATACTTAAACTAAGATATATATTACCATCCACACAACCCGTACCAAATATTAGTTCCCTGTCGTACCGCGTATTATTTAAAATTTAAAGCAAGACAAACATACACGCACTTGTCAAAATCGTCAGAAATTTTGTTGCTTACACTTATTCAAAATTTATTACTTGCGCTGATCGAACATTTGTTGATCGCATGATTAAAACAACGAATATTTTTATTCATTGCCACGAAAAGGGTTTCGCAGATTTCAAACGTTGATCCCGGATGCCCTGGCTTGCCGCTATCAGGACAGCGTTAATGAAACGATGAACAGAGGCGGTAGTGTTATAATCGTTAACGAGATGTTTCTTTCTCACTGTATCAGCGAAGACTGAGACCGCCGACAGTCGAGAATTGCAATCGCGGCTCCTTAGAAACTAGCTCGAGTGTTATGCAAAGCAATTACGGCTATTAAATGGAGCACGTTAACTCGTTAAAGGGGCGAGCTGTTTGAAGTTGACTTCAATTCTGACTGAAATCTCATTAATATTATACATAATACTACAATTCTACTCGATAAACAATTGAACATAAATTGAACGTGAAATCATTTCTTGAATTAATACATTATAGTCTTATTACATATGTATATTAGCCTGATAAGTGAACAGTGAAAAATGTTAAAAAGTTCATCGTTCGAGCTTGCGTCTAAAGCGATTCTTCTTTTAAAAAATATAACGAAATTGAAGTGATGTTTTTATTAAGATTATTTTTCAGTATGAAAATATCGTTTCTATAGAATATATTATTTGATTCTACTAAAAATTCCTTTTAGATATCGTCAGAATACTTGTATCAAAATGTTTTTTCAGTAAATATATTGTCATGGGTATGGTCTTGTAGTATATCTACATACGAATATTGCACACCCCGATTAAAAATGTACATTTATTTATGAACTCAAAAACTGGAAGCATAAAATATTTTTGTGCACGCGAATACATATAGTTTATTTACTTTCACAGAAAATCCATAACCGATGTATATTTGCTTTTACATTTTCAAAATCAGAGTTCGTAGTTAACACGTTCCGTGCCAAGCCATTTTTGCCTAACTTGTCGTTCAGGCCATTTGATGTTTTGACTAAAGATTGATACATTATCACATAATATTTCATTATATCATCAGTAGATAAGTAGTGATTGCCCGAATCAACCGTTTTTATGCAGCTCTTGCTTTAAAAAAGTCAAACATTGTAATTAATAGTTATTGTGTATATAACGATCAAACAAATTTATGTGCTTTGTTCTATACAGCATTTTTTACAATGCCTCTCATCCTTTTGGTGGAAATATATTTTATACAATCAAATTTGTCACAAAATGTATGTCTTCAGCGCTTTAAATAAATATGTCCGCGTGTACCATTTATGGTACACGTGGCCTGATGGTAAAGTTTAACGTGTACCATTTATGGTACACGTGGCACGGAACGTGTTAATGCACGCGTTATTTATACAATCGATATTATGGACTGGTTTCCAAAATTACTACGAGCGACATGCAGTTTCATTTGTCTCGAGGACATAACTCGGCGTCTGCCAATACAAATACCAAACGCTTCGAAAAACCACATGTGCGTAGAAAATAAAATGTGTCTCGGTATGAAATTCCTACGTTTCGAATCAAACTCGAGCAAATTAAATATTATTACCTCGTTGATGCGGCGAAACGAATATCATAAAAAAAAGAGAACAAGAAATAATTTGAGCGACAATTGTAATTTAACTAATTTCAGCTTGATGCGCAACGATACTTTTTTTTTTAGTGGTTCACCGGATCTCGTCAAACCAATTGACAAAATAATTGCGGTTGTGGGAACCCCGCTGCGTCACAATGAGAATTTCCCGTAATTTGGTTTATTGTATCGGCGAGGGTATTGATGAAAATATCGTAAATTGCATCCTCCAAACCATTATGTGCTATTTTCGAAATGCATCGATCACCAATGATGATCTCTGCGAATGCAAAATGCACGTTAGCTGCATGCATGCGATAGACAAATACAGTGCTTACAATGACGGCTTGTCTATAAACGGCAATCCATAAGCATACAATGGGTAATACGGAAACTAATGTGGAAATTCATTTAAATAAAGCGAACTTGATGGCCGCCATTTTCGCGCAACGTGATTATAGTATCTGTGTGGACGTGCGAAGAATTTCATATTTCAGTGTCTGAATCTTACATTAGATATTTAAAAATAAACCTACAGTTCAATTTATTAATCACGATCGAAATATTGTCCAAATAACTAAATGTAAGTACTTTTATTATTGCTGTTATATGATCATAATTAAGTTCTTCGAAAGAAAGAAATATATGCGTTAAGTAATTTTTTATTTACAGTTTTATTATTTTAGCAATAGATTAACATAATTGAAAATACATTAATGAGAAAAATAATTAACTATTACGCAAAATTAATTAATATAGGGTTTGAGACAGCAGCTTTCAATGACACTAAACTAATTCCATGTCCCTGAAACTGCTTACCATTTACATTTGATATTTAATAATAATTTTTAACAAATAAAGTGCTACAGGTTCATATTGTAATAAATTTTTATTAAAACTCCACCATAGCGACCTCTGGACTCATAAGTGAGAATAAGTAACACAAGCTTAAATATATCTAATACGTCGGTAACGACGACTGCTGCACAGGTATGATTATGGATGGGACTCTGTGATAACACATTATGAGAGGAAGATAAAGCAAGAGAACACAGTTACCGACAAAATGAGACTAAAACATGGGTTTATGGAAACTTTTCTCTTTCAAATGACAGCAATACATAACGAAAAAGATGCTAATATAAGATAGTTAACACTTTACCGACCGGCAGTCGATTAATCGATTTTTTGTTCCCAGCGCTTACCAACCGGTAGCCGATTAATCGACTTTTATTCCACAGAGCTTACCGACCGGTAGCCGATTAATCGACTTTTTTATTTTCCGTTAGACTCGATTAGGTTAGACTGGCAAGTAACAAGCAGCGAGCATTTCTTATTTTGTATTCTGATACTCGTTACTTTGCTCTGAAAGCACCCATATTTTTATACAGTTTATAAAAATTTAGCCTTCACGATGAATGAAAAGGATAGTGTTGGTGAGTTTTATCTCGATGATCTGTCAGATTGTCTTCACTGCTCTTCAGCAAGTGGTACTGATGACGAAAGTGATAGCAGTAATGTAATGATTCAAGCAATAAACCCGGGAGAGGATTTCGACTTGACAAAGCATGCAAAATAAAGAATCTATGAAGGCTAGATGATGGGTCGACTTCTGGTGATTATTTGTGCGGCATAATTCAATAAAATGTTAAATTCTGAAGAAAGTATATAGAAAGTACAGAAGAAAGTAAATATATTTATATTTTTCATAAAAATCAATATAACCTTACAAAAAATATATTGTGTTTGGTCTTATTTTAATCAGAAAAAGCTCACCATTGCATTGGGAAAAGTTCCATTACGAAATAGTAAAAAATAAAAAAGTTATACATTGTGTTATCTCTATGGGAGCAAGTGGAAGGCAGATACTGGAAGGTGATGGGAGGCGGTGGGAGGGAGTGGGTGGGAGTGGGAGGGAGAGAGAGGGAGTAGGAGGGAATGGGAGGAAGTGGATGGAACTGGTAGGGAGTGGGAGAAAATAGGGGGATAATGAGGGTGTGAGAGTAAGTAAGAGAAAGTGGGTGAAAGTGGGGGAAGTGGGAGTAGGAGGGTGTAGGAGGAGCGGGTGAGAAAGGGAAGGAGTTGGAGGGAGTAGGAGAGTGTGGGAGGGCGTGGGAGTGAATGGGAAGGATAGGGTGGTAATGGATGGTGGTGGATGCCTGGGGGTGGTGGTGGGTAGTAAGTTAGCATAACCCTGATTAACTTTAGCATAATTTTGGCATAACTCTGGCATAACTCTGGCATAACTTTGGCATAACTCTGGCATAACTTCCTATGTGAAGGATACCTCTCTAATAGGTCAGTAGGTCACTAGGTCACTAGGTCAGCAGTACCCTAACGGGCAAGTTACAGGGTTGAAATTTTACACACATGGGTTTTTCTTGGTCAGGTATTGAACGGTATAAAAGGCTCATTAAAAAACCTCTAAGAGCAATTTTGACCATCTTAATCGACTAGGCCCTTTATAAATCAGACAATCATTTCGATACGGAAGGTATATAAACTACAAAAATAAAAATTTCGACTAGCTAGCTAGCTAGCACACACACACTCACACGCACAAAAAGTGGATCAAAGACAAAGTCTCCAAACCACGAGGACCAAAATGAAACAGAGCAGAAGGCATTGACTCGAGGGTGACGAGACACGTCAATGCTTACACAAGTCTAGAGCCACGCAGCTCTCAATGTTCGGCGCTTCCACATGAGGAATGATGATCCAAAGTTACACCCTTCAACACTCGCTGATCGCTGATCGCTGATCGCTGGAATCGGAACAGGCACAGGAATAGGGACATCCGCAGGAATAGAGACACCCACAGGAATTGGGACATGGGAAGGAATAGAGACATGCGCAGGAATGGAGACACCCACAGAGATAAGGACAGGCAAAGAAATAGAGCAAAAAGACGATAAAGCAGTATACAATAATTCCCGTAATCGCACGTCGAAATCGTAAACCGTGTTCGTAAACTGTATTCGTTATATTATAATTCTGCATCGTTATCCATATCGTAAACTGTAATCGTGATCGTGTTCGTAAATCGTAATCGTAAACGTATTTGTGGGCGTGATCGAAAATTGCGTGTCAACGTTCGTCGCGTTCTGCCGCCTGCCTTACGAAGGCAGCGCCTCGAACAACGCCTAACATCCGCCAATCGTCCTAGCAGCGTCGCAATGTTTACATCGCGACACTCACGTACGCGCACGCACACGTACATCGTGTAAGGTTAACGCCCGAGTGTCTGCGAGCACCGATCGGCTGTTGTGATTTCGGAGATCGTTCAGAAATCGTTAACCTTCGGCTCCTACAATAATTATAAAAGTTCCTTTTCCTAATGAAACCTTCTAGTACTCTCTTTTGTCTGTTTTACTATCTAATAGTTAAACAAAATTAACTAACACAACTCGAGATGAAGAAAAACTTTCGAAGCATAAACATTAGATTTCATGCGGATGTTAGTCATTTACCAAGTACATATGTGTAAACGTCCGCGAAAATCATGTTTTTCCATACTTTAATAACATTTCGACAAGTAAATCAAAAATTGTTTTCAAGATTTATTATCCGATCCGAAATTATCGCAGCGAGATTGACACATACAGTGTAATGTAATTGTTTCAATGTTGCTAGTAATTGAAATTGATTTTTGTCTCTTAGTTAGTCTTATATCGATTGAGCGAGGCAGGCGAGCAATTTTATTGAGTTTCACATGTAACAATGTAAATATACTGAAAATGCATTTATTAATTGTTAATAAATTAAATTTACATAACAGTAGAACAGTAGGATTTTTGTACAATCCCTACATAAATTTCTTGTTGGCCGCTGCAATGTATTTATGTGAATGTTTATACGTTTCTATAAATGTTAGAAAAACGGCATTGTATTCCTCATTTCGCACCGCTGAAAAAATGTTTATTATTACAACGCAAAAAATATTTAATTATCTAAAGTTAGGAATGATTATTTTTTAAATATTTTCAGTGAAAATTTCATTGCAATACCTTCAATGGTTCAAAAGTTATGAGAAAATGTCACTGCATTTCTCGATCCGGAAAATACATTTCTATTTGAATTGAGTTTCTTTTTAATCTCCAGTAGAAAACGCCGGTAACTCCATCTCGTATTTATCAAGCAGCTATACATCTCTAGATAATACCATTTATATAACGAAATCTGTACAGCAAATACCGACCTGCTGAATCCGTAAAATCACGTGACTACCTTAGGCCTTTAAACAGTATTTTTTTAAATAATCTGAAGTAAGCATATAAATGCATATATGTGTGTACCTACACATTTATTGAATGATAAAAAAATGTACATCGAAATAATCAAAATTTTTATAGTAAACTCAACCAGAATTCTTGAATGTCATATTTTGTTTGTGTTGAATATTAGATATACATATAGATGACTGCAGTATGACTTCGTTCTTTTATGCGTCATTTATTTAAAGAAGATCAAGATTGGTTCTAATTGTATGAACGCATCAAAATTGACAGATACAGGTAGAGAGGGTAAATTATGTATGTGTTAGATCATTGACATATTGACATTGACATATGTTCATAGGCATATTCGAATAAATGGAGTTCTACTGTGTGTAGTCATAATAATTAAAGTGATCCATACCACGAAACATTCATACACAAGCTGACTTGCACATCTAATCTAACTAACAGAGAAGAAAAAAGTAACAGGCTTTTTAAGAAGGTAGTTGGTTAGCTCTACCTTAAATGTTGATAGAAGCGCCATCGATCTACGAATCGACTTCTATAGAATCCGATAAGTGCCTGAACGGAATTAAACAAATTAAACCACGACAGTTTGTAATAATGCGCAAAAAGTATTATTACATGGAATGAGTTCTCCTATTTCGGTATCTCTCTGCGTTATTCGCGTCGAGATAGTTGACGAAGATTCCGAAGAAACGAATGGTAAACATTTTTGTAATCTGTGTCTTGAAATAACAGATTTTACTTTTCTTTTTAGAAATCCATTGCTTTTGTACAAGATTATACCAATAAGTTTGTTTGTTTACAATCTTCTTTGAGGTTATGTACCTTGTCATAACAGTATTATTATTTTTTCATACCTGGTTTTCTTTGTTAGAACATGGATAAAATATGGTCTATAAGAAATTCGACCATAAAATTTCATCTTGTAAACATGTGTCGACCGATAAATGTTAAACATACATAAGATTGTTTATAGGTATATTTATGATTATATTATAATTTATATTGCCAATGTATTGTTAGCATAAACAATAATATTGTTAATAATATAGCTTATAGTATTGAGCTATATCATTTTTTGATACTCTATTATAATCAGCATTAGTGCAAAAATTATTATCAAATTAATTATAAATAACACCTGGTATGAATTTATTTATTATGGATTTTATTATCTAGGAGCTAGAGCTGCCAAGATGAGAGGTCGTAGAGAACCAACAAGAATAAATATGGAGAATTGCACAAATCTTACGGACAAACCAGACTTATCGCTCCCTTCTCAAGGAACTAGCACATCTGGTTCTACTTCTAGAGCTAATTCTGAGGAAACTACTTATGATAATTCAGATATGGCATGTGCAAGTGCTTGTGCTTACGATCAAATCAATTTTATTTCTGGAAATCCATTTGTTGAAGTGACTAAAGGCATTATACACTTGTATAAGGAGAAGTCTGTATAACTTATTCTTACTTTATTATGATTGATTACAGAAACTAACTGTGATTATCATTTTATAGTAAATTAACAGACATACGTCAAGCAGCAGAACGCACTCAGACTATCTGTATTCTAGCAGTCCCAGCCACAATGACCTGCCATGATCTTTTAAGATTTACAGCACCTTGTCATCAAGATATACGACATTTTAGGATACTTAGAGATGGTAGTCCTAATCAGTATATGGCTTTAATTACCTTCAAAACAGCAGTAATTATAATTACTATGTTTTCTTTAAAATTCTGTCATACTAGAGATCATGCAGGTATATATTCAAAACAAAGGGGATATCATCTCAAGTTTATGCACAGCTTATACATCATGCATATGCAAATAAGAGTGCATTTAATATGGATATATTTTCATCTGCATTTTTTAGTATGATATTTATTTATTGTACCATGATATCAATGTTTAAATAACATTTCAGAATGCTGCAACAGAATTTTATGGGTCATTTAATGGTACTCCATATAATTCCTTCGAACCAGATGTTATCTGCCACATGGTGTTTGTGTATAGCGTAGAAGTAACATATAATGCAATGCCCTTGTCCGGGCACACAGAACTACCACTTTGTCCAGTGTGTTTGGAAAGAATGGATGAAAGTGTAGACGGCATCTTAACCATACTATGTAATCACACATTTCATGCAAGTTGTTTAGCTAAATGGGGAGATACTACTTGTCCAGTTTGTAGATATGCTCAAACCCCTGAGTCACTTGCAGACAGCTACTGCATGGAATGTAGTATGTAAAATATACTTTTTCTTTGGCTAATGGAAGGGAAAGTAAAGATAGTAAAAGCAATAAATAAATTTTTCAGATAGCAGTGAAAGTAACGATGCTTTGTGGATCTGCCTAATATGCGGACACATTGGTTGCTCACGATATCATCAGGGACACGCGTTCCAACATTATTGTGAAACACAGCATTGCTATGCTATGCAATTGGGGAATAACAGAGTTTGGGATTATGTGGGAGATAATTTTGTTCATCGATTGTTACAAAACAAAGACGGAAAGATGGTCGAAGGCGGCCCAACGGCAACTAAAGCTGAAGGTGCTGCAATGGAGGAAAAAGTAGATTCTGTACAGTTGGAATTTACTTACCTTTTGACTTCGCAATTAGAAACTCAGAGACAATACTTCGAAGATAGACTTTCCCGATTAGAGCAACATTCTCTTGTACAAACTACAGAACTTCGAGAAAAATTAAGTCAAGTAACAGAAGAGAGCGCAAAAGTGAAGGTAATTTTTATTTTAGAAAAACAATAAACCAGACATTTATATCCTTTTAATATTTATTTTAGGAGGAGTTGGCAATACTCAATCGTGAGAAACAAAATGTAGAGAAGCGGTTGCAACAAGTTAGTAATAAGTTAGGACAAGTACAATTGGAATTAACTGAGGAAAAAGAGCTAAGAAAAGCATTAGAATTGAATCAAGTGTCGTGGAAAGATAAATATCAAACACTGCAAAATGAAATGACTGAATATAAGAACAGTAAAACAAGAGAGGTCACAGATCTAAAAGAACAAGTCCAGGACTTAATGTTCTACATCGACGCTCAAAGGAAAGTGGAAAATTCGGAATTAAGGGAAGAAATAGCAACAGGTCGCATAATGATTCCAGAAACATCTGGTACCGTTAAAAAGAATACTCGGTCTTCTAAGTCTCGCAAAAAACGCTGATGTTATTATTTGGGAATTATATATAGCAATTAAAATTTAAGTCGCGCATAGGAGTCATCGATTTTTTATGATTTTAATTGTATTATAATTAAAATATATGCGGCGCAAAACTTAAAATTTAATTTATTAATTTTAATAAATAATGATATAGAAAAGAAACAAAACTAGTAAAATAAGACCAAAATTTATAACGTAACTTTTCGAAGTGAATAATCTAACGTGTCTGTTTATTTCATGAAAGTATTGCGACGACAATTCTTTAAGATTCAATGTTTTGAAAATAAGGAAGATATACGAAATGATACATATTTTATATATAAATCAATGTCTAGTGTATAGGTATAGCTATGTGGAAAATTAATTTTTTAATTATTTCCTTTCTTTAATGTCTACAAAAATAAATGAATTGAACATATTATTGTATTTATTATATTCCGTAAAACTGATATTTCAGGAAAGAAAATATACGTTTTAGGTCCTCTAACTAGGCATATGAAAATTAACTTAATTAGATACTTGGTCTCTTCTCCTACTTTTTGCATAAAAGTTTTATGAACTGTAACAGGCGAGAAACTTTGATACGAAAACTGTTAAATGTCGTATTTAATAGTTTTTTAGGTTTCGTTCAATATATTCATTAATTATTTCAACGAAAGCAATGTAAAAAATATCGAGCATGAGGGACGTTGTGTACTCTAATAAAAGTTAACTTAAAAAGTTTCAGAATCTTTCGTGCTTTGTCCATCAACACTATTTCATAAGAATCCTATACATCTGTTTGTATATTCTAGATTCTAGAAGATTTATTTATTATTAACTTAATAAGTAGACTTTGTGAAACAGAAAGAGTCAAATTGTATATGTGCACGCTGTCCAATCAATGTTTATGGACGGGGCGTAGCACACTCACACGCCGAACTGACAGTGTGAGCTGGTTATAGGTAAAAAGATTAACACTCTTTTCAAGTGGACTGTATTTAATATAAAACTGACACGATAACGAGTGAAAGTATAAATTGCCACTAGAGAGAGGGAGAGAGAAAGATAGAGAGAGAGAAAGAGAGAGTATATAAATGTGTACTTGAACTTGAATAAATTTCTTTTACTTATAAAGAAAAACATATTTTTACCTATCTACTTTGTATAATGCAAGACAGATTGTTTAGTCATATTTGAAATTAGCAGCACGTTTACCTTATAAATACATATATTGAAATTCTTTAAAGACTTCATTGTGAATGCAACTCCTTTCATATCGGAGCAACTCGGAATGCACTTCAAAACTTCGTAGAAACTTTAGCTCATTTGTACATACATACTTTCATGCCCCTCTCACTAACGTTATCATTTGCATTGCATGCCAAGTATTTCGTCGCATTTTAAACTCGGAAACAACAAAGGGTTAAAACAACGGTAACAGTGTACTAACAAATAAAAATGCAAAGAAGAACTTATTTAAAAAAGTACCTCAATACATAATTTTTATTAAGGTATACACATGTTGCTGATTTATAGTTTCTTTTTATGGTAATAATTATCCTATTTTATCCTCATAATAGTACGAGTTGTTTTTTAGACAATTATTAATTGCCAACAAGAATTCGCTGGCTCTGTTATAAAATAAAATGATATACATATTTACATTATCTACATTCGCATTCAGTAGGGAATGCATATTTTTTTTTATTTTTTAACTAAACGATTGCACATTTGGACGTCGATGTTGGTCATATGTGTAAATAAGCTACGCTCAACATCCGAGAGTATCGAAAATTGTTATATTTAACTAGGACAAAACGCACGGCTTACTTCTGCATCAGGAGAAATAAAAACGTGTGGTTGTACATTAAGAATCTTAGAAAATCATTTATGTAATAACCATCAACAAATAAAAACTCAATGCATCGGATATAAATAGAATGATTGGCAAATGATCTATGCCAAATTTCGTTCGGATTCGTAACGATTTCCACAGTAAAAACATCGTTTTCATAACAACAACGCGTATTAAACACAGTTCAACAAAATTTCAATACGTGATAATAATCCCAGCGCTTCTTTTCATTCATATTGCTCTCTTGAAATTCTGTGACAACGAACAGTCACAAACACTTCACATAATATAAGAGTCAAACGTTAAGATACTTGACATAGTATACTTGATTATTTTGGTTAAACACGAATTTATTTTCGTGAAAATTTTCGCGTACACGATCCCACTTAAGGTTACTAAAATCTTCTTACAAGCATACACGTCGCTATATACTACGTTTATCTGGGAGAGCAATATGAGGAACCAACATCGATCAGTCTTGGAATTACAATTAGCAATAAAAATCATTACATTTTGCAAAATATATAAATATAGAAGAATAATAACTAAGATCCGTAACTACCTTTGTAATAATTAATGACGCTAATTATCATATAGGGCCTTGCGCGTTGTAGAAATCAACGCAAATAAATACGGGCCTCTCTGTCTCTCGCCACTACCTCGTGTTCTCGCATTTAATGCCAATGCATTAAACCACAATATGCATGCCGTGTGTAAAATAGTTATCGTAAAAAAATCTTATTTTTTTTTGTTTCGTATAACGATCAACACATAAAAAGTGCTTAATGACTCCATTACATCGATCAGTTAGTTCGTTATTATCTAATAGTTAATTAGTGTAAGTTGGCAAAAGCATCTCATCGTATAGGCTTCCTTTTACAGAAGTTGCTCAGATCTCCAGACAATATGTATCAGTTAATATTACAAATTTTCTTATTATCTTAAGTAGTTACAGTCTCGAGTCATTGTATTTTAGCAGACTATACGACAAAAATTTCATGAATTAGAACGTATCGTGTACCACGCAAGGTACGTAACGCAAAACCGTCTTCTTCATTATGAAGATAAATTAAACTTTTTGTTATACGATTGTTGATACGGCTAGCATGACACAAGTTATGCTTAAACTCAAGTTTAAAGTGTCTATATTAAAATACTTAATACATAAGAGAAAAACGAACGAGACCTTTAAAAACAAAAACAAAAACAATCTATAGAGCATTCCTACATTATAGAATAAAATTTTTTCCATTTCATAATTCTGGCTTTTGTGCTAAATTAGTATTCCATTAACAGAAAAAAGTGAGGAAAGATAATGAGATGAGAAAAAAAAGAACTGAAGAATAATAGAATTAGGCAAAATATCGTAACGCAATACAGTAAATTCTCCCCAACTGTCGTTCAGCTTGTACACAAAAATAAATAATTTAGGAAGAGGAGATACGATTATTCGAGCCTTGCGCCTCGTTTTTAAAGTTGTTGGCAATCGGAAACTGTAAAAATGAGCCACGAAGCTTCAAAAATCGTATCTCTGCTTTGTCCATTTCCAAATTGTCCATTTCTGTTTACAAACTGTGGGACAACTGGAGAGAATTTACTGTACTTTTAAAAACATTGATATTGACTAAATGAATAAAAACTCTCGTTCGTTTCGTTTAGTTTTCGGTATTTACAGGTTCTCGCGCATGATGAATCCTAACGTGCTTGTTGTGGTTCGACTTCGTACCGCTCGATTTCCCGCAAATATGACATGTATATGGTCTGGCGCCCGAGTGTACTCGCAAGTGCTCCTTCAGATAGTACGATCTATGAAATGTTTTGTTGCAAACATCGCACGTGTATGCTTTATTCTCTTCGTGCTCTTTGACATGCCTTAGACAATTATACTTTCGTATAAACTGCGCTCCGCAATAGTTGCAGGTATAAGGACGCACGTTCCTATGTGAATTCATGTGAGCGGTATAATCGCTGTGCCGGTAAAATGCGGCACTACACTGATTACACTTGAAAGGTTTGGTGCTACGGGCAGCGTGTGTCCATTTGTGCAATTGTAAGTTCCACTTAGTACTAAACGCCTTGGAGCAAACTTGACATTCATATGGTCTCTCCCCGTTATGTACTCGCATATGTACTGCTAAGGAAGATCGCAAATAAATACACTTACATATAGGACATTCAACGTTTTCGCTCTCCCTTTGAGCATCCGGAACGAATCTTCTGTTGTGAGCACGACGCATGTGTCTGGTCAGGCTAGCCATATGAATAAATCTTTCATTGCAATACGTACACGCTTTGGGCTTGTCGTCGTGTGTCTCCTTATGCCAAGCCAATTTTTTCTTCGTATGAAATACCTCGCCACAGTGACATATATAATCCTTCAATTTTCTTTTTATGTTTAAATGATGTCTATTTTTGTGTTGAGTCAAATTTGAATATCTACGAAATGTTTCATTGCAAAGATTACATTTAACGGGTGCATTTCCAGTATGTCCGTTGGTATGCTCATCCAATTTCTGTTTCGTTAAAAATGCTTTGTCACAAACAGTGCATGGGAACGGTTTTATCCCTAAATGTCGTTTCATGTGTAACTTGAAGTTCTGTTTCCTATAAAAATACTTCCCGCATTGACCACACTCTAATGGATGTATTTTAAGATGTGCATTGAACAACAAAACTGAGGGAAACTCTTCTTGGCATATCTGGCACTTGGTACTATCACGAACTCGTTTTGACGTTTCTGTGAGATGTACTCTTTTATGATGTAGCTGTAACGATTTTTCACTACTAAATCGTTGATTGCACAGGGTACAAACTACCTCAATGTTTGACGGTAACACTAAAGAAGTTTCAATCTTTTGATCAGGTTCTACTTTTGCAGTTACATCCAAAGATTGCGGTGGTTGCAGTTGATGTAATAGTGGCTGTTGATGATAAACTTGTTGAACATGTAAACCTGGTACAAAAATCTCCTCAAATGCGTTCATGCGGCCATCCAGCAATTTGATATCTTTCACCTCAGGTTGATCTGTAGAATCTCTGCTACCACTAGGTCCAGCTTCTTTGTGCGTAGTAGTACTATGTACTCTGCGTTCTTTTGGACAATCAAAAACCTCGGGACAATGGTAACACTTGAATGTTCGTTTTGTTGGAGTTTTTCTGTCTCGATCTAGGAACAGACTTGATGTGAAATGTGTAGCTAATGATCTACTGTCTAATAACGGTCCACTAATTTCATTGTCTGATCCTTCAGATTCTTCCCAACTCTCACGGGCCATTAAGTCATAAGAAGTAGACATACGTGATGACTCCTGACCAGCATACAGCTATGTACACAATAAAAAGAATCTTTCAATATATATATAACTAAAGTAATTAAAAAGATATTACAATTGTTTAAAAATATAGCAATTACACTTAAAAATACAAAAGATTCAATAATAAACGATGCCCTATAATAACTTGTGTGATTAATACAAATAGACTTACTTCTTAAAATTATTTGTTAAATAAAAAATAGATTATATACACACCTGCCAAGCAGACGGTTCGGTGCATCCATTGCTTTCCTGTTCTGATAATTCACCTCTAGGTGGCATAGTTTCATCAGCTCTCATATTAACACTCTTTACTTCTTCATCTATACCTATTCCACCTTCACTGCTTGCCATAGATTGCTGACTCGTTGCACTAACAGCTTTTTGAGAAGAATCACTTATAAATGTACTAGGAACTAAGATGTGAAGCCCATCAAATTCAAAAACATTCATTGGACCTGCATGGGCATCTTCATTTAAACTAAGTAGTTCCATTGATGGTTTTTGTATAATTGATTTAGAAGAATGGAAACTCTTTGAATCAGAACTACTTGCAACAGCTATAGATTCTGACAGATTTACAAGATTACTTTTATTTGGTGTACTAGAATATTGTTCATGCGATGATGATGTTGATTGTTGTGAAATTGTGGGAAATGAGCTCACATGTTCAGTTATTACAGATTGATATGCTGAATTTCCTTCCATTTTCTTCTCAACAGTTTCATTCAAAAAGATTTCTGATTGATCTGCTTTTACATCTTGCTCCATAGAAGAACAATCAATAGGATCTTTCTCTGGTGTTGCATCCATTGCTATATTACTTTCTTCATCATGGCTTATACCATTATCTATATGACAAAATGAATGCACTGAAGCCGGTGAACATGGTTTACTGAGATCCTTTCTCACCCTTAATACAGAAATACCACTGCTCACAGATAATGGGGTATGTGATCTAACATTATCTGAATTTTCTCCATATTTAATGAAAGGTGTATGAGGACTTTGAATTTCTTCTATTTCCATATCTGCTTCATCAAAGTTGTCTTGTGTTTCATTTTTCTCATCTTCATTTTCTTCGTCTTGCAATGTATTTGCATCGAAACCAACTGGGTAAGAATTAAGGTTCTCATGTGAACCAAATACTGAACGTACAGAGTAGGTTGAACGACGACTGTCTGTTGGCATAGGTGATACAGGTGCAGACAAGCTGTTCTTATAACGATATGAAAGACACAAATTTTTATCTTCTTTACTATCTACATCAATTTCTGAACTTTCACTAATTTTTAGTTCTATACTGGATTTACAATTGTTTTCAAATTCACTGGAACTGTTAACTGCTGTTTCATGAATCACACTTTCTGCCCTTTCTGGGGGAGAAGAGGGTGGATCTTCTTTTGGATCGTCCTCTTTCTTCTTGTCATCTGTATTAGCAGATTTTTTATGTGACTCAGTATCAAATTCATTTTCCATAATAGTGATTAAAAGACGTTCTAACTGTTCTACTTCAGGTTGAGCTGGATCTTTAGTTACACCTTCTGTGGGTATTTCAGACGAAGTACCTTCAGTTTCATTTACTTCTGTGCAAGGAACTTTTTCTGTAGTTGTCTCTTCAAATTCCTTCGCTGATGTCACTAATGGTACTTCAGGCATATTATCTTTATTATTATCTTCCTCATCTTTATATATGTGCACATATTCTTCTTGTACACTCGAGGATTCGTATTGCATAGGTTTACATTGAACATCTACAGTAACAACACATGAAGTTTCGCCCTCATCGATATCAGGCAACACACTTTCAACTTTATCATCCTCAACATTACAAGTGATTGCCAATGTTCTTGGAATGTTATCATATTCATTTTGAATAATGTGTCGATTTTCACTATCCGATGTAGTGGACTCCTGTTCTTCAGTTTCTATTTGAATTGTAGTGGTCTCACTTTCATTTTGATGAATAGAATTTTCTTCGATTAACGATGGAGGTGAAACTGGAAGATTAATATCTGGTAACACTTGTTCAGATTCCTGTTCTGATTCGGGCAAAATCTCAGGTAAGATTTGTTTTGGCTCGGAATTATTTACAGGTATAGCAATGGCAGTCCTACCACTTGTTTCGCCTGCCATAGTTACTATTGACCTGCCTCTAGTTGTATTAGGTATAGTTGTAACTGGTGAGATCATCTGAACAGTTGGTATTTGTTGTTGCTGATACATACCATAAGGATTATACAGCATCTGCATCATTTGATTAGCTTGAGGAGCCATTGCATATTGCGGTATCATCATAGTGCCATTGTTCACGAACTGTTGATAACTGAACGAAGCAAATTGAGGTGGCATCACAGTACCGATCGGTGGACATTCAAAGATTGGTCCTATAGGATATGGTGATTGAGTTGACAGATGAGTATTCTGTGAAACTGGTGGTGTACTCTGCGGTGATTGTACAGATGGAGAAGTTGGAGGCGCAGACGGTGATAGCTGACTTTGTGGTGATTGCGAGGAATTAGAACTGGCTTTGATAAGAGCTTCGATGACTTGTTCCTTTGGATGTGTGTCCAAATGTCTTTGCAAACTGATACCCTCGCGTAAATAGAGGGTACAAACAGGACAAGCCACTGCACCCCCCGATGTTCCATTGTTGGTAAGATCCATTCTGTCTCAGATATTTTCTTTACACATGCAATTTCCGAACAACTACATTGAACACTGCAAACGTGTTAAAATACTATGTAAAATGTTGACGGTGTAGCGGTAGTATCACTAACTTTTTTTTCTAATTGACACGTCTTCGCCGTCACTGCCGTCCTCGGCGTTTTCGTCGTCACCGTCAGTACACTTGTCGTGAGGGTCGTCGTCGTTCTCGACGCCGTCCTCGTCGTTATCGTTACCGTTTTCGTAGTCGTAGTCGGCGTCGTTGTCGCCGCCGTCGTGGCTATCGTTACCGTGGTGGTCGCCGTTGTGATGAATGTTATAATCGTACTGGTCGTACTCGTCGGAATTTGCCCCGTATCGTTAATGCATATCGCCAATGGCTATTTGCATTTCGGGCCCTATCAGGCTTGCAAGCACGCTTGAGCACGGCATATGCACAGCCGACACGTTGCACCAGCCAGTGCCCCAAAAATATCGACGTTCATGGCTACCTGGTTTGTGTGTGCGATGGAGCCAGCAAGGCAGTCGCGGACAAATCAATATCTTATTAAATCGCCAGCCTCCCCTGCTCTTATTAAATTACACATGCACCATTCACACACACCCGTAACGGAGCACCTTTCCCAACTTTCTGTACGATAACTTGCCCGAAAAGTCTTTTGTTTCTCATTCGATTATCGAAACGGCATGTTTTTCGCCCGATTCCAGCCTAAAAACACAACAGAAAACAGTGACGACTGGTATTCCACCTTAGAATGAGAACAACAAGAGGTCTCACTACAAATGTGGCGCCCCCTTGCACGATGCCCTATTAGCAACCTCCCCCCAGATTCAGTCGATTGTGACACAATCATTCCCTTTTCTACCGACTATTCAATGTCGCCATAGACCAACTCCGCAAATAGATCGAATGCTTTGTAGATATCCATGCCACAAGTTAACTGTTTTATCAATCTAGAAATCCTAAACAGATTACAGCCTATCTTTAATATAGATTTGAAATAAGAATTAGTGTTAATAAGTTAAATGCTAATACTTTTTGAAAGTGAAAGCATTTGCATTGTTGCGTTTTATCTTTACATTGAGATTCTGAGAATGTAGATGTACGAAAATATTTTGGATAAAAGCGCCATTGAATGTAGTAGCAAAACACTGAAACTAGTAAACAATCTATCGACTGTAGATATCTTCTTAAGGAAAAATACCATTCGTCGGTAATTCGGCTAGCAGTTTCATCATTTTATTACTATGTCTAATGTCGCTATTCTTATATTTTCAGAAACAGATGATTCGTCTTACGAATAAAGCAGCAAAAGAATCATTCATACTAGATATTTGCAATAACAAATAACATTGAACATTGTACAGTTGTGTACGTTCTAAATATTTTTTCCAAAGTAACATCTAAAATACAAACATTTCAATTCTATTAAAGATGTTTAAATAAGTTTGCTTTTCAAATATTTCCCGCGCTCGTGTCTACACGTACATCAGCTGTGTTTTAATCTCGTGCTGGACAGCTGTGAAATGATTTAATCTATACTTTAAATAAAGACAGAGGATTTAAAAGGTTGCGTGGTAACTATATGTCTGGGTTATGATACTTTTTTAAACAGTTAATTACTCGTGATTAGTGTGTAAACGTTGAAAATTCTAGTGGATTTCATTATGTCATGTTTACTGGCGTGGTTTCGCATAGAAATAGAAACAAGCGTAAAAGCGAGTAGAGATAAATCATATAATCTATTTTTGTAAAATAGGGTTGTCATAAACAACCCTTCTCAAGTTAATTATAAATTGTGACCGACATACTCCTGCCGAAGTTACTTTGTCTGCATAATTAAAAATGACAGAAGAATTACGTGAGTAATATTTTGACTTTGACATACCATAAACATTTGTGTATTGCATGTTCATTTCTGATAAAAGATATTAATGTGTCTAAATGATCGATCGTGATTTATATTTCCTAAAACTTTCGTTATTTGTTTCAAGTATGTAAGTATAAATTGCTATATTGTCGGTAGCAAAAAGTCTCCATTAATGTACACTGTGAGAGGTATCTGATTAATAAATTATAAGAACCTCTTTGTCAGCCTTTGAATAAATAATTAAGTAAGGTTATGTATATCTGTTTAACAGCACCAGAGGTGACCAAACACAGTTTTCGCCTGAAAATATGGGATTATCTGATGAAAAATGAGCTAGTCCATTTTCCTTTAAGCGTATACGACCGTATACCAAACTTCAAAGGTGCGGCTGAAGCAGCTTCACGGTTAGCAGAGCTAGAGGAGTTCAAGAAGGCACATATTATAAAAATAAATCCGGACAAGCCACAGGAACCTGTGAGGTTTTTGGCATTGGAAGCCAATAAAGAAATACTGGTTCCAATTCCAAGATTGAGATCTGGTCTGTTTTTTCACGTTACACCGGTAGCTGGCATCACTAAGAATGAGCTGAGAACTCTGTCTAAAATTCATGGTCTAAACGAAGCTGGTAAATCACTTGGAATAGACTCCAAGATAAAGGTACATGTTTATTATAATAATTGAAATATTTCATTTGTACTTTATCTCTATTACTTCTCATATCCTTCATGTTACCTTTCAGATAGACCTTGTGATATTGGGATCAGTATGTGTGAGTCGCGACGGGTACAGATTAGGTAAAGGCAAAGGATTTGCAGATCTAGAGTTTGCTTTGATGGTGAGAATGGGTGCAGTTACACAGGACACTACAGTCATCACAACAGTGCATGATTGCCAGGTGGTTGATAGCTTGCCACCAGCACTGTTCAAAGAGCACGACGTACCTGTGGATATAATTGTTACACCAACCGAAACAATAATAGTCAACCCAAGATTAAAAAAACCAACTAGTATAATATGGAACATGCTGAGCGAAAAGAGACTGGAGGCCATGCCGGTATTGCAACAGCTGAAAGAGATGGACGAGAAGTATGCACAGATTTGTACTAATTGCGTTAATTTGTACCAACAAATATAGCGAATTATTATTTTCCAGAGACGGCATAGTAGTGATCCTGGGTCAGAACGAACCCGATTATGTGCGAAACAAGAGACCTCCTCGAACAAGGAGAGGTGTTCTCGCAGACGGTTGTGGAGGAGAACGAGAAAAGCCAACGAAAACGGGTTTCCCAAGAGGATCTTCATTTCGCAAAGCCAAGGCCGATGGCGATACTAATGTAGCCTCTAGCGAGGTGCAGGTTGGTTATATTAACTTCATCCTCTATGTCCGACTGCACAACACTCATATCAAATCTAATTTCAGGAGAAGCTTCCGAATGGGGTCAAGCAGCGTTCCAAGAAGCCAAGATCGAAATCTAGATTACAGATCGACTTCTCTTTAAAGCTGTCGAACATCTCTTCCTACGCAAGAATTCGCGACCTGAAGAACGAACTATCAGTGCGTGGAGTCAAACCGAATAAGATCATATGGCAGGGCTGTCGCGGGGTCTGTTATCTGCACTTTAATAAGCTCAAGAAGAAAACCGATTTGCCGGAACAGCCTATACAGGTCGACTCGATAATGGCGAACCTGCGGGATCTGCGAATCGGTGAGTCTTCCAACGAGACCGATTTTATAATAGTGGAACCTACGAAACCAATCTCGAGAATCGAGGTCACCGATGTGACAGCTGTTTAAGTAGGTCGTGGTACTTCCTCGATGAGCAACTATCTCTAACGATGTACAGGGTGTATGAAAATATAATAGCAAAGACACTCTGCCCATCATTTAGATAATTGCAGAAATTAAGTATTTTTTACAGTGCTTGCGATCGGGACGAATTTTCACGAATCAGTAGTCGTTTATAACTTTTTTAAATGTACAAAGCTTTACAGGTGAAACGCCAGATGTATATAGATACGAAGCGCAAAGTAATCGTCTCTGACTTGTACATAATTAATTTGTTAAGGCATTTAATTTGTAATAGATCGATAGTCAATCCGGGAAAGACTACCAAGCTTTACGTTTCGATACAAACTTTAAATCGCTAAGTTATTTAATCGAAATCGTGTCTTTTCTTTCTATTTATGGTTGGTTAACAAGTCCATGACAATATTATAGTTTTTGGATAGCTTCGATAACAACTACTGTGATTACGTAAAAAATATTTAACTGTAAGTGATAGTGGATTTGAATGATTTTTCGCGTGACCGGTTGCCAGAAGCCAAATGACCGGGATGCATATCTGTGTGGCATTCGATAACGCTTATCTGACCCTACAGACTGATGATGATAGTTTAATTAATCGTTAAAGAAAACTACCTCCCGAGAAAAGTATACAGCGAAACAAAAAAAATAGAAAATATTGTGAGAAATGCATCAGATCGTTCCACAGGAAATCCTTCTTCTTTAACTTTGAATAATCAAGCACTAATCGTTGAGGGTAGCTATAGTGTGATATGATTTTTGTTCACTTACAATGTTAATTTCGTCGATCCGTGGAACGATTTGACATTTGACATATAACCTTGACATAATTTTCATCCCAGTTAATTCCATTTATCGAGTACTTTTCGCAGGGGGTAATATTCGGGGCATATAATAAACGAACATCGAGTACGTTATTTTTCTGAAAGAATATTTTTGCAGATGGTAAAATAGGAATATAAAATTCATTCTATTTTCATGCTGATATAGCGTAACCTACGACGGCATTGTGATGGAGCACTTATACGTAATTGTAATCTGTGTGCTAGTATAAGAAGCAATATTTTTGTGATATATTAACAGACACAATCTATCGTTCATTGAGATCGTAGATAATTATTATGTTGTTGGTTTTTGTTATCACCGCAGTTACTATTGATATTAAGCAGAAATTATATCCTGTATCTGCTGGTCGAATCTTTGATACAGTAAATCCGTATATTTTGTCGATTTATTTTCAAGCTAAGAATAAATGGATATTTTCAAGGCTGAGAGAATGGTGTACTTTTTCCACGAAACAAAGACCTCTGGACGCTTCCTTCCTCGTCCTTCGTGATCTAATTCCTCGCGTTGTTAGAGGAGTAATTACTCACCTCGGCGAATCGATCGATGTTTCTTCCATTCCTAAGAAAAACCTTGGAACCTATCTTTCCGGACTAGCAGCCCCTCGATTAGCTCTGTTCCATTATCTCTTCCCATTTCTATTTCATTTACAAATTAACAAAGTGCACTTAGTATATTCTATGCGCCGCCTCCTCGACGACTTTCGCCCCTTCTTCATCCAGGCTATAACTCATTTTCGCGATTAAACGTTTCTTTTCATTCGAGTATTCGCAAATGTTGGATAACCTTTGCAATCGGAGCGGTAACGAGTTTACCCTCGGACCAAGAACTTTCAATGTTTTGCATAATCGATCGCAAGGAACGATTCCCGCCGCTTCTGAACGGCAAATTGCATTAATCTTGATCGAATCTCACGGACGCGGATCTCTGGGAAGCAGGAAGGAAATGAAAATTCCTTTTCCAATAGAAATAGCCTCGCGGGACCCTCGAGTACATTGAGTTAGCGTTCTCGAAAGTAGGCATGCTCTCGACTCACGAAATTAAATGAAACGAACGTACTTCTCGTTCTCGTTATTACCGAGTTTGCTTGATTCGTAGACGCGGCCCGGTAAATAATACAAAAGAGGAAGAAAAATCGTTCGCGGATCGACAAAGTTTCTATTATTCACGAAGCCTACGTTCGACTCGGCTCGCCGGTCCGTTTCAATTGCTTTTACGCTTTCTATCGAGTGTGTCGCACAACGACGTATCGATTCCCCACACTTCTTCGTTTTTCTCTCCTTTCCATGCTTATTCCACCCTTCGTCAATATTTCATCGCGGAGTTATTCCGCTGCGCGGAATTAAGATTAATCTGCAGTAGTTCGAGCAAACGTCGAAGAAGAATGTTTCATCGATTTTTCTAACGCGCTATCTACCACTTACAAACTCACAATTATGTATCTACTTTTATTCGCGAGTACAGTAATGTCTCTCTAATTGACGCCCAGATTGACCACAAAAATGGATAATTATTGGATAATTTACTATCATGGATAATTTATTTTTATAGTTATAAATTGTCCACAATTATAAAGACGAGCCGCAAGGCTCGAATAATCGTATCTCCTCTTCCCAAATTATCCAATTTAGTGGACAATCTGAGCGTCAGTAAGGGGGACATTACGGGAGACATTAAGAAATGTTTGTCGCCGATTCGAGCAGCGGCTTGCGATTTTGAACGAAACGCTTCGAAACGATCTCCAAGTGCTCGGCCAGGATGAACGGGATCGTAAATGTTTTTTGCACGCGTGAGCACACAATCCGCAAGCCTTGCTATTGCTAGTCGGATTCTCAGTTTCCTTTTTGCGAAATGGCGCCGGTGGTATCGATTACCCGCCGCTTCGCCGTCAAGTGCGCGGCTTTATGTCCAATACTCGTTAACGAACTCGCTGGATACCGTAAATATCAATTACATGCGGAGAGCCCGCGACACAGGCGTATCCTCCATCGGCGTGTTCCGCAAACTGAATGCCCTTTGATCTCGCCGATTTCCAGCTATCAGATTCGCTTATCTGTTTGCGCTGGTCGCGATTTCTAAATCCATTTCGGAGAGTGTGGGCGCGGACGCGGCCTGGACTGGCTGGTTCCGTTCACTAGAATGATTGCACGCGACATTTTATCATTTCCCGGTCTTTGTTTAACCCCTTAACGTGCACGCTCGAGTTAACTCGAGCGCGCTAAACTGGCCAAACTGTGCACACTCGGGATAATTCGAGCGGCGTTGTACTCTATGTTGCTATAATTTTTCACACTCGAATGCAATCGAGAATTGAAAATAACAATGTGAAAGCAAAAAAAAACAATCGTTTTATTGATATTTATCATTTACATGGGATTGTATAAGCTATAACACTTACTTATTCAAGTATAAAATATATCCTTTTTCTACTTATCACTTACGACTTATCTCTTCCTTGTGAGCCGCTTTCCGACAGCGTATTCATATTCGGATTCTGATTCGCTCATTTTTCAATATATATTTTACTAAAATATAATGTAAAATAAAATATAATAATAATAATAATAATAATAAAAATAATAATAAAAAAAAAATAAAAATAAAAAAAAAAATAATAATAATAATAATAATAGTAATATTCTGAAAATTAGAAATCATACCAATTGTATAAATATAAATTGATTATTTTTGTATTTTTGTCATTTTCTTGCCAAGACAACGTTCTAAATTGTGTTTTTTTACATAAAAAAAATTGATTTTTTTGGCCGGCCTTTTTCAAAAGAACTGTGCATTAAGGGGTTAATAATGATCGGGGATAGATATCTTTTACCACCGAGGTGAAATTTGAAATTTCAGGTTCACGTCAGCCGACGACAGTGGCGCGAATTATTGAATTTCGAAATTAGCGCTACGTTCAACGAAGAGGTCAAAAGACACCTCGTTAAATTTTCGTTCAGAATTGTTCTTCAAGTTTAATATGCGATTAACAATGGGAAGTGTATAATTCAAGAATTTATAGTCCCAAGCCATTCGCATGATTAGCGTACGCCTACGCTTCGTTTTACTGGATTGTTTGTCGGAATGGAAACGAAGAGAAACAATTTAACGGCGCGATAGCTGCCAAGTAGTTTCGCGCACACTTCAAGTAATGTGCTGTAATCGATGATAAGACAGTTTCATTGTTCCTTGTGAAGATCGAAGCTCGATATTTTTCATGTTTCTCTAATAAACAATTCCTTCACGTCCCATAACGCGATTATTTATTATTAAATCAGCTTTGTGAATCATTCGTTGAATTCTCTGTTCGGACACGGAATTATTTAAATTAAAATATCATTTACGAACTTTGTTAATCATTACTGTACACCTTGCATAAAAATTTCATATGGTACACATGAGGTGTCATGCACACCAGAAAATTAAAACGGCTGTCACGGTTAAACTACATGTATTATTTCGGGTCCGAAAAATTAGTAAATATTCTTCAGACGTTCTAAAGCAAAGGTGAACAGCGTTTTTCTTAAAAATATCACTGTTACGCAGTAAAAAAAATCCGGAACGTTCGTGACTTGTTCAATACTTCGAACGCGGCACGAGTCCGTCCCGACCTTCTCTCAAAGCCTCGTGCTGCGGGCTCTCGAACTTCGCGCCCTCACCTCTCATTGGTCAGTGTTTTTCGTTAATAACTCGAAAACAAAGCCGCAGATTGCATTGTCGCAAAGGGAAAAGTTACTTAGAATGATCTCAGCTACCCCACATTTCCGTATTGCGAAACATTTTTGGGGACACCCTGTATAGTACTGGTACGCTCGTGTAAAGATGCGTAGCCCAATTATGGCTTCTCTAATGGTGAAGAATCGAGTGTTCCATCAGCGGTATCGGTTCCGATAATGGAAATCCTGGCGCAGATGTGGGCCAAGGTTGCTCCAGTGGTCGAAAACCAACGACAAATGCGACAGCGGGATTGAACAGTCTGGCTCACCGAGAATATCATCGTAGAATCGATCGTAACTATGCTTCGGATGCGAGATGCTAATGTCACCGCGTCCCTTAGCATCACGAAAATCCGTTTCTGCTGCAGTTTCGAAAACAACTCGTCCCGAGGACCAGCCAGCCGGTCGTTTCGTCGAGCCACGAGTAGACTGCGGATATCCGCGCGAGCATAGATTTTTCGGGCAGCAATTCCCGGGAAGTGGAGCGAGAGTAAACAGGAAGAAACGTAGAAATCTCGTCGAACTTTATTAAACATTTTATTGTACCGAATTCGAGATAACGGGGGGTGTGTTACAATTGCGTAAATATTCGTAACTCCGCTGGTCGCTGAACTTCTCGACGATTTCTCATTCGAGTTATATTCGTAACGGTTTCTGGGCGCTGTTCTATCTCGAATTCTTCTATTACGCAGATTTGCATTTCTAGATCAGCGACGAGCAAGCAGCGCGGAAAGTTCAGAGCTTCCCCTTTGAATCACGCAAATTTCCCCCGTATCTTCTCCGAAACGGGAAGATACGAAGGGAAATCGCGCGGATTCGAGCCTGCCTTCTTCCGGCTGCTTTCGCATCCGTTTAAGTGCTCTCTAGAAAGGGCTCTCTATATTTGGTCGGGTTTGAGTTTTCCATTCCATATATAAAAATAAACAATAGACTTTTCCTTGAGATGTACGCGTACACAAGGTAGGAGGTAAAATAGAGATATAGCTTGTCGTTTATCTAGTAGAAGGTGTTAGGTCTGACGGGAACTCGGCTATAAAATCGTGAGAAACGGAAAGAACAGTTTTCGTCTTTGCACCTTAACTTAACCTTAGTAAAATGCAACAACCGTGTTTCATATAGTTTTATCACGTTATCTGTGCGCCGGGGCGGATTCGCGCGAACAGGCCGCAAACTCTCGATCGTGTTCGACCGAACCGAACGTTCGCGGATGCCTGCTCGGGGAACCCTTCCTCGTTCTTTTCGTTGTAACTGTATCAATTAACGTCATTTTCATCGGGGTAACAAGAGTTGTCAAGAGTTTCGAAGTATCTACCGGGTGGCATTCCTAGAATAGACGGTGGCATTTCTAGATTACACGATACATGTGGATACAAAATGAAGATATCGGAGACAGCCGTTCGCCGACGAAACGGAAACGTATCGTAACAGGAAACAAATGATTCCTCTACTACTCTATTCTACTCCTAGTGAAAGCACAAGTATCACATTGGTCCGTAGCAGTCACGGAACCGAAGATATCGTCGATTGTTGTACGGCAGACAGGTCCAAGCACCCGGTTAGCTAAGGTTCGTGCCGTAACTTCGTTTCCGGACAATTCTTGGTTCTGGAATCGTCGAAATTGACTTGGACAAGTCGGGTTCCCGGCTAGAAGCCCGTTCACGTGGTTCTTCGCATCGGAACGAGCTGAACGGATCCAGATTCCGAGGACAATGCGGCCCCGGCGTGCTTTAGGAGCATTCTCATCGAAGAAAAGCGTGCTTTTCCACGTTCGGATTATTTCCCTAGGATTTAGGATGTCGAGGGCTCTGGACTAGCGTCGATGTAGTCGATGTCCGAGGACGTCGCGGTGCTTGCGCGTCTTCCCTGCCGAGGGGACGAACTTATCCGCGTTTTGACGTTCGCTGTCGAGACGGATAGTCGGTTTCCAGTCCTCTGCGCCGGCTGTTGTTTCGTCCTGGAACGAAATCACGAGTAATCGTCGAGTTTAACCCTTTCGCGCCGAGCGCCGCATATTTGCGGCATCCATTCGACGACCTGTGGGTATGGGCGCCGCATATAGGGTGTCCCGAAAATGTCTCGCAATACGAAAGTGACGGATTCCTCAGGTCATTTGAAGCAACTTTTTCTTTTACAAAAATTTTCTCCGAGGCACCGTTAACGAGTTATTAACGAAAAACAGTGACCAATGAGAGGCGAGCTCAGCTGGCTCGAGGTGGCTGAGTCAACGGCGCCAGCGGTCGAGCGATCGAATCTCAGTTCAGCTGGCGCGAGGCGACCGAGCCAACGGCGCCAGCGGTCGAGCGGTCGAATCTCAGCTCAACCGGTACTAGGCGGCCGAGCCAACGGCGCCAGCGGTCGAGGCGGTCGAATCCCAACTCAGCTGGCGCGAGCCGGCCGAGCCAACGGCGCCAGCGGTCGAGCGGCCGAATCCTAGCTCAGCTAGTGCAAATCGACCGAGCCGATGAACGGAACTGGGCTTCGTGCGCTGGTTGGCTGGGCCGTCTCGCGTCAGACGTACTCGATTCTTACTGGTCACAGATTTTCGTTAATAACTCATTAACGGTGCCTCGGAGAAAATTTTTGTAAAGGAAGAAGTTGCTTCAAATGATCTGAGGAACCCGCAATTTCCGGATTGCGAGACATTTTTGGGACACCCTGTATATGAGGCATCCACTCGACGATCTGTGGGTACGGGCGCCGCATATATGCGGTATCGAAATGAGGTGTATACAAAAGACCCAGATGTGTAATTTGTAGCAAAAATAATAAAAGGACGGATTCGCGGTATGAGTACAAAGATTGCGATGTTGGTCATTGTATAGATCCTTGCTTTCAACTGTATCACACAGAATTATATTATTAGTTTTTACATATTATTATCTTTTAATCATTTTCGTCTCGTTATTAATTATATTAAACATTTAATCGTTAGGCTTTGTGATTATATAAATACTTATGTTACCTATAATTTTGTAAGTCTTTTTAAATTAAAAATGTAAATATGCTTGTAACATTAGAGCAATGATTGTTTTATTCGACACAGTTATTATTTAAGACTTGGAACAACATATATTCAGAAACCACGCGCACTATGCATATTTCTGGAGCTAGTTTCCGTTCAGTGACGGTACTTCGGCAGATGGAGCTGCCGTAGCGAAAGGGTTAAAGGAGTAAGGATTGGTCTGGACGAAGCAACGGTCGAGGCGGTCCGAGTAGACGAAACAGAATTCTTGGGGGATTCGAGGCTTTAATCGAGGCTCTATCCGAGCCAAGATCGTCGGAAAAACAGGATCTAGACAGACATAGACTCGCTGTCCCGGGAATGTTTGCAACATTTCGACTGACCTGAGTCTCTCCTCCGCACCCAGCATGGCAGTGTTCAACTCTTCCTCCCACTGTTTCTCCTTCCTCTCCCTCTCCTGCCTCTCCATCTCGCGTTCTCTATTGTACGCGCGATACTCCGGGATGAATGCTAATCTCCTCAGATCCACGCTCGGTCCGGCGCCCTCCGCTAACGCGAGGGAGTCCTCCGGGGGATGCTCGACTTTCAGAGATCTGGGTAAACAACAGAAAATAGCGGTATCTCCGTCCCCTTGAATTGGAAACACGAACACACGGAGATAACGAGGAACCAGCCCCTCTTGTACTACATCTTACGATCCTCTCTTCATTAAAACCCCCATCCCGACGGCTTTCTGCACCCTTGCTCTTCTCCTAAGAAAATATATCGTGGGATATCGCGGAAGCCTCTGGTTTCGCGACTCTCTGGCTTCGCGATAAAGAGAGGATTTTGGCGCAGTTCAGCGAGCAAACTGTTTCGGTAAATTTATAATCGTGGAAGGGTTGCTGTTTAGTTCCGACTCGGAAATTAAGTAGGCCAGTAGGAAGCTATTCGAGTTTCGGAACTCTCCCCCTATCTCGCGACGGTCTTTCAGTTTCGAAGGAGGGATTAGCAAATTGAACCATTTCGCGCCGTCTACTGGGTTGATTTTTCGCTGTTGCGTGAATTAGCGCGGAAGCAAATTAAGTCGGGAAAGCGGGGGAAGACCTCTAATGAACGGAGTCGGGCTCCCCTGTCACCTCTGCTTCGCCAGGCGTTTTTTCTTCTTGTGCAACGGCTTCGTCTCGATGATCATCTCCTCGAGCTCGAACGTCGGGTCGCAATTAAGATGATCCTTCGGCGGCGTGAACGTCGGCTTGATTTGCTTGTTCAACACCTTCTCGAAGTCCAGGTCTCTCATTACGCTCACTTGCTTCAGCTCCTTCAGCGTCGACACTCGCGCGCCCGGCGCCACCGTTAGCAACCGGTCAAGAAGATCGCGTATCGAGGAACTCCAAGCTGTAGGCGTCGGCCTTTCCTCCTGCGAAATCATTCCTTCGAACCTTAGAGTACTACGCTTCCGATAACGTCGATTAGCCTGAGTCGCTTTGTCTGAGCAAAGGCCGATCGAAGAGCTGCCTATAGTTTTCGATCCGCCGTTAGATCTTACCTGCAAGATTCGCAAAGCTTCTCTATGCGACGTGGTGGAGTGCAGAGGATAAGGACGTTCCCCACTGAGCGTCTCCCAGGCTAGAATCCCCAAGCTCCACCAGTCCACTGCGAAACCATAGCCGAGGACACCAAACTCCTCGCAAGAACACATGTAAATTTCTGGAGCTGCGGGTCAGACGGACGTTAAAAGGAACCGCCGACGTTAGAGCTCTGTTCGGCTGCTCCGTCTCTATCCATGGTGATGCGGTTACGCAGATCCATTGCACAGCATTTACTTTCGTTTATCGAAAGAATAAGGTGGTCGTTGGGACCGCCGGAGGTCGACGGGCGAAACGGTACCGGAAAAGGGTCAAGGGGGGCTGCTCGAGTGCCAAAGGATTATTAAAAGGATCAAGGGGATTTGGAGATCAAAGGGAGGATCTAGGAGGTTCAGAGGTCAAAGGATGCTTTAAAGGATCAGGGAGAAGGGCTATCGTCGAGCAAGGAATAACGGAGCAGCAGGAAATCAAAATCCCGTGTAAAAGTCTAAGAAAACATCCGGCGAGTTCGAAGATTTTAGAGAAAATACGTTTTCCCCGGTGTAAAAAAGAAGAAAGTGAACGAACATCGTAACTGGCTCCCAGAAGATAATTCCCGTAAATTCGGATGATCGTACGAGCTTGGCAAATTATAGCACACATTTGCTACAACAAGATAGGAACACCTCCTGATCCGCTCCGACATTCACGGAATGCAATAATCGACTTAGCACCAGGATGGATAGAGACGCATTACGACAATCAGATTTTACGGTCGAGAAGCCGTTAATGCCTTGACGCGACGGGGACGCGCGGCATCTAATTAGTTCATTACCTATGTATGGTTTTGTTCCTGACATCGAAGTCGCCAACTCGCCGTACTCCAGTACCGTCGCAATATTAAAGTCAGTCACGTGCGCGTGTCCTGCACAGAACATAATATCCGCGTGTTACACAAATCGAGCGCCTTCTTGCTAGAACGATGAGCAGGACGCTCGTTCTACGTCCACGAGTTTTCTCGTCGAACGACGAGAAATCGATCAATTGTCAGCTGGCTGTCGTCGCCGGTCGCAACATCTGTCAAATGATGTTAACGGGCACCGTCAAGATGTCATCTGCGAAGCTACGATCAGCCGCGAGGATATCGGATATCCCATTATCCTTCGCAGCCCCCGACCACCGAACAGAATTTTAATACGACACTGGTGTTCTGTTTCCAGTGTGCAACGGTATAACGTTGCAGCCAGTAGGAGCAGGGGTTGGTTCTCTGAATACACCAGCAATTGCTGGTAATTCCTGGTAAAGATTCCGTCCTGGGAACCTATGATCTACGATGTCTCCTCTAACGAGACAGTAGCCGGCGGCATCGTTTTGATATCATTCGCTCGAAACGAAGGAACTGTCCGCTTTCTCGGAAGGAAACTTTATTTCTTCTCGAGACGAAAGGGTGAAACCCTCATTAACCCTTAGTGCTCCGCGCGTTTCTCGAGTACTACCTACCAGCAACTCCGGCACATTTTTGGAGCGGAGCGCCTGAGATAAAGGAAGTCTTATTTTGAGCGGAAAAGATCGTCCTTGTGAATGCATTTGATTTTATTTATTTTGTAAATATACATTTTCCTATTGTAAATAAAAGATAAATTTTAAATTTTGTAATTCACCATGGTGTGATATCTTTGGTAACAATCTCCCATGTGCATTCTGGGTTTGCTTGGACAAGCGTCACAGTATTCACTTTGCCAAATAGAGTTAACAGATATTTCTTTCAAGTTTAGAACATTTTCTGCGTAATCGTTGGTTTCCTTTATAATTTCATTTTCCAATTCGTCCGTGAAAAATAATTAAAAATATTGTATTGGCTGTTCAATGTTTGTAGGAACTTGTGGTCCAATGACCTGTGGCAATACATTAAAAGGTATTCTATCTGGAATATGAAATTCTTCCGCAACATCGCGCCGTTCATCTAAGTCTTGTAACGAATCTTCGCTTTCACTTTCAATAATTTTCATTCTTCGTCTCTTCGGTAGTATAATTTCGCTACTACTACTCGAAGTGTCAGAATCATAACCAACATTGTCTTCCACGATGTCTTTTAACTCTTCAAAATCAAATACGTCTTCGGTATCACTCGGCACTAAATTCTCATCATAATATTTATTTTTCTCCGTGTTGCTAACCATAGAAAAGGTCAAAAAATGGTTTAATCGTAATGGTGCAGACTTAGCATGTTTTAACTACAGATAACAATTGCTAACGCCGACGATAACGTATGCTAAAAGCATTTGGCTCCGTAGCGGAGCCTTCGGAGCGCTAAGGGTTAAGAAATCATGCATCAGAGACTCCTCGCTGCAAATTCTGCAGTAGATGTACGCCGTCATTAGTACTTTCCGATATCGGGAAAGGATAATAAGAACGAGGCGAGCCTTTCCGTCGCTATTAATACGGGAGTTACACTGTACTTTCCATGAAACATCTAACAAGCTGGATCACGCGCTGAAAGGATTGTGAAGCGGAGGTATCCGCGGATCGCGATGGGAAATTCTTGAGCTAGAACATGCACGCCGACACCGGCCCCGTAATTTTAAATGATGCAGAAGCAATCTCGCGGCTTAAACAACTGTCGGTTAAGCACGTCGGGAAATTAGGGTTGCTCGGTCCTCGAGGGTCCTCCGCGCCGTGCTCTGAACCCCTTTCGTTTTCTCGCTCCGCGTCGATTCCATGCGACGAGACGCGACGCGATGTTTGCCCTGGAATTTTGCACGAACGTGCGCATCGATCGCGATATCGATAATCAAGCGAGTCAAACAAAAGGTTGTTCCATCGCCTTAGCCGGCAGTCGATTACTAATTCATCGAACGTTCCCTGGGATCTTGAGATCGGGTAAATTCTTCATAATTGCCCCTCGCCTTGTAAACAAGAATCGACAATTTTGGAAGAGGGGATACGATTGTTCGTGCCCTGCGGCTCGTTTTTATAGTCACCGATTGTCAATAACTACAAAAACAAGCCGCAAGGCTCGAATGATCGCACCTTCTCTTCCCAAATTGTCCATTTTTGTGCACAATTTGAGCGTCAGTTAGGGAGAATTTACCGTAAGGATTTCTAAAACATCGCGGTACCGAGAATAGCTGTGCGAAAGATTACGCGACAAATAACGCGAATGCTGAAAGGGAGTTCGCGAGTCGAGACTCAAAGGGAAACATCGCTAAACTTTTCATGCGGAAGATTTCTTTTGCCGCTTCAAAAATGAATCTTGCCGACACGACGCGACGCGACGACTCGCTCAAAGGTTTCGGTGGGGCTTTTCAAGAAGCTCCTCAACGAATCAATTTTTCAGAAATACAGAGGAAAGGGGAGCTTGCACAGTTTCTGTTCGCGCAGAACTCGATCGAATCGCGGAGTCGCTTTATGAGCGCCTGTGTCCCACCGGAGCTGAAGAAAATAGCGCGCGCGTCGCGGCCTTTGAAACCGGGGATCGTACATATTCCCAGGGACCCTTGAGCTCTGAGAAGCTCGCGGGAAAACGGGCCGAGAGAAATTCCGTATGACTCGAGGCAAGACCCCGGATCCAGGCTGTGTTCAGCGTCGGAAGTGCGAGGCAGGGTTCGAAACGCGGACTGAAAACCGTCGAATTATTTATAGGCTGAGTCAGTGGTCTGGCGTAGTCACCGCATGAAAAGAGAGAGGAAAATGACCGGATCTGCGGCCTGCTACGTCACCGGAATATAATGCGGCCCTCCATTGTAGCCGTTCTTCGACCTTTGAAGAACCCACGAAAGCGGTTCTCCGTCCATGATACGTCCACTCGACGAATCCTTCCTCGCCGTGCCGGCACCGGCACCGAACAGAGCCGGTAAAATTTAATTAACACCGGCGCTGCTAATAGTGGATGCAATTTTCCGAATGCCTACGCTATCGCGCTAATAGGATTAGCTTTGATAAGAGCAACCCTGCAGAATCTCGCTTATTACATTGCCCCGTTTATCGCGCAACCTGCAACGCGTGCCGGTGTAATTGTAAACCATATTTGCGTTTACACCCGCCGGTAATAATTGCCTCGCGGATTTTGACGTTAAACAGAAATCGTCCGTATAGATTGCGAGAAACAGGGAGAGAGTGAAATTAACGCAACTCCGGTAAAACTTCATTTATGCGAACCTGTCGGGAAACAAACAGTTTATATGACTAGGTAGTTCGTGTTAGTAGTTGTCGTTCAACTGTCCTCACCGCTCGCAACTTTGCAATCAAATAATTGAAGATTCAATCGCATGTCTTGCCGGTTAGTCCTCGGATTCCAACAGTAGCTGTAATATAATTGGCTTTGCTGTAATTGGAGGAACGTCCGGCGCCAGTTCAGATAATCGAAGCTCAGCTAGGACTTACAGAACCCGGGTATCGAGGAAAATTTCGTTCGCATAAATGGAGTTCTGCCGCGATATGAATTCAGGGAAAAGTTACGAGCGCGAATGAGAGGAAGATAAACAGCGAATAACAAGCAATCACTGCTTAAACATCGTTTGCGGTAGCAAACGAAATGTTTCCCTTTCTCGCGGGACCCGTGTAAAATACCATTAACATGTTCAAAGTGCTGCAATTTCTGCGGCCGTTTGCGTGCATTAATCCTAATCGGCCGCGCGTAATTCCCGCCGATGAAGCACGGAGTGAGAACGAGAAACGGGAATTTATTCGAACGGCAAGCAGCCTTTCGCAAAGCAAACAAACAAATTAATTAACCGGCGGGATAGGAATCGGAGAAGTTCATTCTACCGCGCGATTCCAAAAACCAAGCCGGCGGTCTTGGTAATTGAATCCCGCAAAAATTCCAGCCGTGAGATTGGAAATTTGTGCAAATATCCGCGAAGAATTCGTATTCGAATAATTTTAATTGCTTCCGGAACTCCGCGGCGGAGACGAGCAACGACGCGACGGCGACGCGACGCGACGCGGCGGAGGAGCGTTAATCGAATACAATTTTAAGCCGACAATCTCGAACTCTTATTGCTATCCCTGTCAAGAACACCGGTCCCGTTTCCGAATAATGGCGCCGTTGAGATTTTCGAGGTTTTATGAGGATTGTACCGTGCCTTGTCGAGCCACTCGCAGATTCCAATTTTCGTGCTCCGTCCATCTCATTAAACTGTCTTCCTCTCCCCCTATCTTTCCTCGTCCTGCCGCGCTTCCTCGGCTCGAGTCGAAGCGGGGGTGTTTGCGTTTCATCCCCGAACAACGAAGCATTATGAAAGTTTCAAGGGACCCGCGTCGACAACGACAGAATGAAAGGCGAGAGAAAGGGTGGAGAGTGTCAAGACGTCAACACACACCGGGACTGAAAGTTAGTAGCGTGTGCTCGCCGTCGGAACCTTTCACAACAGTGTATCGCCGGAATTTCAGACTGACGCGTGAAAGAACCCTGTTCTCAACTCCCTTCGTGCTCAGACGAGGCAAGCAACCTATTGTCAGAAATCAGCTAGTTTCCTAACATTCTTTCGAAACGTGGGAGCTCCTGTCGCGAGGAAGCAACAATATTTTTCTTCAATAAATATTCGCGAGTTCTCCAAAATATATCTGCGTTGATATATTTGATATTTCTGATGTAGTTGATGTTTCTGCGATACTCGTGTCGCGAAGGAAAACGATCGATGCCGATTCCGATCGTTTCTTTTTTCTTTTTTTACGAAATGATTCAGTTTGATCGCGCTCGTCGACCGTAAACTCGTGCCCGCGCCTTCGGCGCTGCGGTGTAAACGGCACGCGTTCGCTCTCATTTTATTGCGATCCAGAAAAGCTCATTTGATCCCGCCATTTCGTTTCTGCGAAACAATCGGCGCCGCGACCGGGGAGCGCTCCAACTGCTTCTCATCTCCGGCGTTGAATTTTACTGTCGCTCATCGCAACCCCATAAAAATGCTATTCTTATTCGAGTCGGCAAACCACACACGCGTTTATTAACATTTCACTTAATTCGTGGGAAGATCGCCGGCTATAAATTTCCCCGGAACAACCTTTACGCGCCGACGATTCGGAACATTAATCTGTTTTCTCCAGGATCGCGAACGGTCGTTCGTTGAATTATACAAAGAGGAGACGACGAGCAATAAAGTAGTTCAACCGGGTCGAAGTGCGGATATTACTCCGGTCTGTGCTACAGGTAAATATTATTGATTTCCGGACATCAGAGACGATGGCATTCCAGCGAACGTCGTCGCGAGCGGAATCCGTAGTGTCTCGTCGTTTTATTTTCTCAACGTGGTTTTACATTATCCGTGCAAACACCGGATCAAACTCAATATATATCTTTCCAGTAAATTTGGACACACTTTTTCTTCTAATAAATGATTACAATCGGAAACATTCGAATCGTTGCAGCTGCGAAGACAATGGGCACGGCAAGGGATTAACTAAAAACGAAGGTGTCCGAAAATCGTGGTAGTTCAGGGCGTCGCTGGAAGGGTGCTGGAATTTGTTCACGGAATTCGGATCGATTCTTTTTATTTTCGCGATTACTCCGCGTTTAATGGCGTGCGGCAGCCCGGAAATTGCCCGGAAGGATTATCCGACGATTTCCATGTTGAAACCGAGATTTTACGAGCGACGTAACGTATTCGCGCGACCCAAAATTGCTGCGGTAATTGCGTAATTCACAGAATGTACCCTTAATTCGGCTGCCTTTGTGATCGTGTTTCGGCAATACATCGGGGAACATCGGCCCGGAGTATCCCGATAGTTACGGTATCTCGCAAAATTTCCAACGATTCCGGCCAATAATTATTGGTCAGACAGGAGCCCGACGCGCGTTCGTCGACCGTTCCGAGCTCGTTAAACTGTTAACGACCGTCAAATTTCGAGGTGTCCCGTTCATTGTCGTTCATCGATGTTCAATCCCGTGTATTTTCATACTGCGATCGGCGGTCGTTACGTTCCGCACGGACGACCCGATCCCCGAAAACGAGATTCGAAAAACTGGAACGTTGTTCTGCCCACGTCGTTTCGCGGTGCAACGACAAACGTGCTATCGTTCTACCGTACTTTCTCCGTCGACCGCACACATTCCACGAGAGAAATTATCATTATTGGTAAATTTGAAACATATTCAATATAATTAGAGAAAGTGATAATATTTTCCTCCAGTTCCAGTTTCTTGCTATCGAGGTAGAGAAATTTCAGTCGTTTGAAGACCTTGTCGTATATTTTTTAAACTCTCTCGAAACGCGAAAATTCCAATATTTATTTAAATGAACCAAATAGCGTATTCAGAGGGTTCATTTTGGAGTCTCCTAGGATCCGAATTTATCGGCGAAGTTCGTGGAAAAGGAAGGATTCTTGAAGCGAGCGTGATGCATGCCGTCGACGGAATTGTCTTCGAACGACTCACGAACCCGTGATTCATCGGCCAGCCTTCCGACCGAAGGATTCACGGGAACGAATGGCGCGATTACGCGGTCCGGTGACTGGAAGTTACGTCGATTCGAATCTCCGAAATTTTCCTCGGGAAGGACAACAATGGTCCTCAATGATCCATTATATCTCCGCGATCGGATAAATCAATCGTTTCGGACCGGATGAGCGAATCTCACGCGAATTTTCCGCAAATTTTCCTGGCGTTTCCGGGAAGCACGTTCGGCTTACGATTACCAGACAGAAAAAGAGTACAAGTTTTTCCTTGTAGCTTTTCGAGCGGGTATTGCGGTGCTCGTAAATTCATTAGACTGTCGATTTTTGAATCTCGTCCTATCGTCGTGTCCCAGGTGGTTAGAGAAATCATATTTACGGAGGGTGGACAGAAATTTAAAAGTTGTAACGAATGAAATGGCTCGGACTGCGGATCTTCATGCAAAATAAACATTATCTGCGCCAATTGCAAAACGTGGGAGCCAAGTGCAATCTCATTTGTCTTTTAAATAATTTTAATAAGTTATAATTAACATATTAATATTTTTGGTTCCTTTCAATTTGTTCACTATTTTAGTGAAATGCATAAAATGCATAAAATCCGCAGTCTAGAAATTGTTAACTCACCTTCCTCGTCCAGAAGGATATTGTCGGGCTTGATGTCGCGGTGCACGATTTTGTGGGCCTGCAGGTAGTCGAGGGCCAACGCGATTTCCGCCACGTACAGCACCACGCTTTCCTCCGTGAAAACCACTTCCTGCTGGATGTGGTAGCGCAGGTCGCCGCCCAGCAGCAGGTCCGACACCATGAACAAGTCCTCCTCGTCTAGAACAATCCAAACATCAACAATAACTTCCGCGCATACTGCGCAGATAAATTATTCCTCCGGACACTGTTGCGGCGTCGCTAGAGAGAATCCTTTCAAACGTCTTCTACGCAATCGTTATCGGGAGAATGACAGAATCTATTAGGTGTACAAATAAGTTTTAACCTTCTACCTTTAACCCTTTGACTGCAAGCTGTTCTAAGTTGAAGCGATTCACGCGAGCGGCATGCGGCCTGCGCATGCGATCACTAGGGACCTAACATGCTGTAATAAGTACACAATACAATTATTATTACTTTGTCTAGTCCAAAACGAATCCAAACACTTTTTATTTTCAGTATGTACTGTTTATCAACTGTTCATCAATTTTAAGTTTTAAAACGACATAGTTTGATCATTATAATGTATTTGGATATTCAAATTTGACAAATTAAACAAATCATAGAAATGATTATGTAAATACTACCTACGTTTAACAATCGTAACGTAGATACTTTGTATATACAGGGTGTCCCAAAATTATGGCACTTCCGGGAAATGAAAGAGGTTCCTGAGGTTATTTGAAGTAACTTTTTCCTCAGCGAGAATGCAATCCGCGGCTTTTTTTACGAGTTATTAACGTAAAACAGTGACCAATAGGAGGCGAGCTTGGCTGGCGCGCGACGGTCGCCTAGCGCCTAGCGAACTCGCCCCTCATTGGTCAGTGTTTATCATGAATAATTCGTTAACGATGCTTCGGAGAAAATTTTTGTAAAGGAAAAAGTTGCTTCAAGTCACCTCAGGAATCCTTCATTTCTCGGAAATACCATAATTTTGGGACATCCCCTATATACAAAAACTATTAGATTTCGTATATTTTCGTATATTTTCGTATATTTTCGTATATTTTCGTATATTTTCGTATATTTTCGTATATTTTGTACAGTTTCGTATATTTCGTATATTTTAAGAAAGAAAACCAATAAGAGTTCACTTGAATAATAGTTCACTTGAGTATGGTAANAAATACCATAATTTTGGGACATCCACTATCGTATATTTTCGTATATTTTCGTATATTTTCGTATATTTTCGTATATTTTCGTATATTTTGTACAGTTTCGTATATTTCGTATATTTTAAGAAAGAAAACCAATAAGAGTTCACTTGAATAATAGTTCACTTGAGTATGGTAAATCTCAAAACAAGTATCGTATATAATCCGATGTCGCATTTTTTACATTCGTATGGTGTATCCTTCCTTTTTTTGTGTTCCCTGCAGACAACACCTTTTCTTCTTGTCAATTAAGCAAAAGAAAAAACAAAAAAGAAACAAAAGCAAACAAAAAACAAGATTTTGTTTTTTCTCGTTGCTAAGCAAAGAGGTACATGATTTCTGCGAGTGTAGGACCTAAGTGACGGATATGCGTCCATAGCCCACACTTAATAACATTTGCTGAACGCATAAATGCGTCCATAACAGTCGAAGGGTTAATCTATCATAAATCTTATTTTCACTAGGAATATCGACCGTATTGCAGTTGGATTGCGTCGTCCTTTAACTTTCCGAGACGCAACGCAAGTGCCTCGCTTCGCGCGTGTCATCCTCGATGATCATCCAATGCTTAAAGCCATTCGTACATTTCCAGAAATAGAAGTTGTATTTTAGAACAGAAGTACTAGAACCGATTTGTACATCCAACAGATTAAGAGCTCCATAGCCAAGAAAATAGGGGCAGTCGATCAGAGCGTGCGAGGGCAATTAATGTTCCCATCGATAATTAATTTTCACAGTGTAATCTCGTGTGGTTAATATGCCGGATGAAGCAGCGCGCTGTGAAATGAATCGCGAAGCGATGAAAAGGGCGATTAATGAGGAAAGGGGATGAGGTAAACGTGTGTTCGCGATCGCGCAAATTTTCGCTCGATCGTTATTCAAGCGTCGCGATTCGCGGGCTCGATCTCCGTACGCTTTTTGCCAGTCGGGAGCCGAGAGGGGAAGGCTGCCGGGCATCAATTTTCGTGCGTCTTCGGAAAGCGAAGAAACAACGGGCAGTTGAATGGAAACCGTGCTTTTAATGGAGAGAGATTTCGCGGTTAATCGAGCCGGCGAAACGGGCCGAAAATCAGCGCGCCGCGAGCATCAGTTCTCGTCGAGGAGGGAGTTCGATAATGCTGCCACTAATTTCATCCTTCTTAAGAAGAGTCGGCGAGGATCCTTCTTCGACCGAACAGCGACGGAAAGCTCGTCCAATTAACAGCCATTTTTCCGTAATCTCCGCAAAGTGCCCTATTCCGCGAGCCGGCACCCTGGGTGTCGTCCAAAAATTCTACGAACACTTCCTGAAACACTGATCATGTCTACTCCGAAGCTGCAAAGCGAAATTTTCGCGACGGAGGTTCAAACGATTCGGTATTCGCAATTGTTCCGCTGTAATCGCAGAAATTACTGCGAGCCGGAATTCTTCGACTCGCCGGAATTCCCAGCTGACATCGGGGATGAAAACCGTGGGGAAATATGCTACGAAATAGTTCTCGTTTATTGAACGGCGGCAAATCGAGTAGACCGCGATATCATGCATATTAGATCCAAATCCGCAGAATTAATTCAGCCGCGGCTGTTTCAGCAATCGGGCGAACTCGTTAACATTCGCTTAATCTTTCCAGCGCTGTTACATTTCGATCGACGTTACAGGGTGGAGAACGTCGAGGACTTCTACAAATTCCTCTGCAAACAATCGCGCGTTCATCGAGACGGATGCCGGCTCCGCTCGAATTCCATTACAAGTCGAACGAAAAATCCGCAGGATCCGAAGCTCACCTTGGAAGCTGAACCACAGGTTAACGAGACAGGGGTGTTCGAGCTGCGAAAGGATCTCGACTTCCCTAGCGACGTTCTTCAGGGCGCCCCTCTCCGCGCACTCGCCCTTGTGGACGTACTTCATCGCGTACATGTTCCCGGCGCGATCCCGCTTCTGCACTATGCACACCTATTAAGAAATAATGAATTGCTCGTTAGCCGGCGAACGGGAGATGAATGATGAGTGGCCTGCCGCGGAGCACCGGGGGTAATTAGCCGTTGTTCGGTTCGGAAACGAAGTTGCGCGCGAATGTTGCAAGATGCGAGTCCCGGGACGGTCGAATTCCGGCCGGTAACGAACACCTCACCGCGCCTCGCCGCTGAATTATGAATGGGACCGCGGTTCGATGCAACTGGGGTGCATTTTTTTACCCAGCATTCGGATCATTAACGATCGGGGGTGAGTTATGGCAAAGCCGGGAGGACTCGGGTATATTTCGAACGTCAAATTCCGCGGCCCGCGGGCTGAAATACGGCGCGAGTCGGAAATAAGGGCTGCGAATTTTCAGATCCGTATTTGGGACGCGGACAGGCGGGGGGCTAAATTATGTGACAAGTGGCAGACGGAAATGTAGTTGGCTGTTTCCCGCGAAACTCGGCACGCCGTTGAAAACGGCGGAATGAAAGGTAGAATTTTTTCTGATTTCTATTCTCCGCGTCTGAGCAGGGAAATAGAGATTCCGAGAGTCAAATTGGCCATCCCTCAACAGTCGGACATGTTTGTATGGTTTAAGAGTAGACCGTGGCGCAACTTGGAAACAAAAGCCGGAGATTTTCTGACTCGCGTGTGGGACGTTAATGGGTGGAGGGTGAATAATGGGGAAGGCTGCGGGCAAGTGGGTGGCAGACTATTTTTCAGCAGCGAGATATACTTTCCGCGCACGCTTGAAAAGAACGCGGTGTAACTTGGGGATAATGAAAGATAGGACTTTTTAGGTGCACACTCAGTTAATGGCCGCGGAACAGAGTTATGGCAGAAAGTTCGCCGGAAGGGTTGCTATCCAAGGTAGAAAGCAGCCTACTGTCCGTGGATCGAAGATGAACAGTACGCGTTTCGTAGGCAACGGGAACTCCTGAACTCGGTTCGTATTCCGACGAATTTATTTATATCCGACGCGGACTAACCGATGAACGAGCAGTCGATCACATTTCGCAGTGACGCGCGAAACAGGTTCGAAATTTTTGGCGCAGTCGATCGCGGGTTAATTACGAAATTGTTCCATGAGAGTAATTAGCTTTCTCGTGGCGGGAAGGGACGGGCGGTGCTCCTGGATTTAATTAAACTTTGTAAATAACGGTAATTAAACGTCGTAAATCTGAAATAATACTGATATACTGAATAACTGAATAATTTGGAAAAATTTGAATATCAACAATATGCATGTTCAAATAGGGATACGGGGCGTCGTTATGAATATGAAATTAATTACGTGAGATTTCGTAGGCACAGCTGGACGTTCGTGCGTTTAATAAATGCGACTGTATGGTAATCAACTTTCCTGATAGCGCTATGGCTGTACCACCGACGGTCGCCGGCGACCAACGTGTTACCAATTAATTAAATTAATGCTATTACTTAACGCAATGTCGAGAACGGTTTCCCGGGTCATTATTCACACGACGTGCTCGGCATTGCGCTCGGAATAACCTAATTTCGGGACGATCTTCAAAGTAAACAATCTCTCATTTACAGATTTTAAGGAGAGATCGCTTCCATTAACGGCGGATGGGTATATCGGAGGCTGGTAATTAAACCGTGCGCGGTTACAATAATTATTACAGCCTCGAAAGAATGCGGTGCGCTTGATTAAAGGGAGAATAATTAACAGTTTATCTCTCGTACCTTGCCGAAGCTTCCCTTCCCGATGGCACGCAGGATTTGAAAGTGATCGAAGTTCACTGAAACACAAAAGATCGTCGTTACACCTGTTACATTTGTTTACGTTTACCAACGAGAGCAGCAACCGGCAATCTGGGTCTTTAACCTTCGAGCGATGACCAAATTTTGTGTAGCTTGTTTTGCAGACCGATAAGACGTCAAATTGACTTGCGTCACCATTTGAAAGTTTAATACTTTGCACTCCGCTGTCCCCTCTCGTGGGAAATCGTAATTCTAGCATTTCACTCGGATGTCCCCTCTCGTGGGACATTAAATTTTATTAGTGATTACGGGGAATTGAGTTATTTCAGCGCAACTTTTTGAGACATGCATGTTTCCCTGAAGTTTGCCCTTGAAATGGTACAAGAAATCAAATAAAAATATAGTAAAATTACTAAGATATATACTTTGAAGTCCGAGCACTTCAAAGACGCCACTTGAAAAGAGCGATAAGACAAGTTTGTAGAAGAAAGATCGGTATGCGAACATAGCACGCACTGTATAGTGAGATTTACAATCATAAAATCTGGAGGAAAAGATTTTCAAAGCTGAACTCAGTCTGTTTTTTTGGTAAATATCATCTTGTGAGTTAGTAATAATAATTAGAAATTTTCAACCTATGTATTTATTCATATTTTTTATTAGAACAATGGCAAAACGTTCAAAAACGAATCAGTCTCATGACACAAGTAGTAGTGAAGATGAGCTCCAGATAGACGTTTATACAGATATATTAGAAATGTTACACAGAAATGTTACTACAGATACGTAGAAGGTTTTCTTCTACAGGTAGTCTATCGTTTTGATAGCAGTGATAGTGATATCGTCCAAGCAACAAGGCGACGAGAGAAAGAGTTCGCATAGATAGCGATTACAACAACAAAACAAAATTATAAAACAAACAATAACAAAATTATAAAACATAAAATATTGATTTTTTTGCACATTTCTCGGTTTCAGCAAAATTCATATAAGTCCAATATCATTATAATATGTTAGTTCCAAAACTATACTAAATAATACGAGGGTCTGTAAATTCCCGTTTCTGCCGAAAAGTGACGCCGAGTAGCTGCTAGCCAACGTTCAGAATGGTGCGGAGTGCTAAGGGTTAAGTATCCGAGCGAAGTACCTGGACTACCTGCACCCCTCCCCCTACAGGAACTTATTCATCAATTGTTTCGAGTTGACAAGAAAGTATTTTTGTTTGACACGCGTAGAAAGCGTTGTTAATTGTCGTTTCAAAACCGAAATTACTTTCTTGCCAACCCGATGCATTCAAGTAGAAGTTTCAACAAGTACAGTAATGTCTCCTTAATTGACGCTCAGATTATTGCCAAAAATGGACAATTTGCAGCTCGTTTTTATAGTTGTTGACAATCGATAACCATAAAAAACGAGCTACAAGGCACGAACAATCGTATCTCCTCTTCCAAAATTGTCCATTTTCGTGCACAATCTGAGCGTCAATTAGAGAGATATTACTGCATTCCAGAATTTCGTCAAATTTTTTGGGAGCTTAGAGCAACGCAGAAATGAAGTCCGGGCTTAAAAGGCACAGGTTGCCGGTCGCGTTATTAAGAAAATATCTTGCCAGCGGAGGGTTAATTCGCGCTTCGAACGAACGAGAGATTCCGAAACTCGGGCGGGCACTAGCGTAAAATATTCATGCGAAACTAATAACTAGCGAGCTTCGATGGAATCACAATTAAACGATCGACCAGACAGTATTCAATTTCTCGCGGTAGAAACAATGGAATGATTTGAAAGGGGATGACGGATGGTGCGCGGCCTCTCGATTGTCTCTCACAAAGGATCAATTAACAGGAAGCTGGCAGGTGAAACGCGGGACCGGAGCGCGCGTTTACGCGAGCTCCCGTAAACTCGTCGGATCGGTAAACTCGTGACGGTACCAGGACCGCGGAAGTTTATCGCCGTCGAAGTCGGGTCGACGCGAATGCGACATGCCTGTCTGCCGCGTAAAATCGGTTCCACGCTATTCTGTCAACCAATATTCAAAGACTAATCCCCGGCCGACGCCGGCGAGATGCGCGCCGCGAAATTCGAGCATTACCGGGCACCGGGGGCACGCGTTCAAGAATAATCTCTCGTGCCGATCGCGCAAACATTTGACGCGTAGTAGACCTAATTAGCGCAGTTTCCGCGGCTGTAACAACGTCTACAAGGCACAAAAGCTTCCTCGAACGTTTCCCGAAATTCGATATCGAGCACGTACGTTGCTCCAACGCGATCGTTCGAGCCACGAAACCACGTCTAATCGAACTACTTCGCACAGAGGGGACGACGTTCGGTCTTCTTGTCTCTGCGGTCTTGATTCGTTGGATACTGATTAGGTCCTTTTCGTCACAGGCTAGAATTCCATTGTTCGAAATAGATGAAAGGAATAAAGAGCTACTATGGTCTTTGGGTGCTGATCCTTCGGGGAAACAGAAATTAGGCTATGCTTTTGCAACGTGAAAGTCGGGAGCAAAGACGCGTCCGAGGAGTCTGTGAAAAGATCGCAACACTCTCAAGGGACACAGAGCCTCCAGGATTCAACTTTTATGGGATCCAGCGCATAGTCCGAACAAACCTGTAAGTCGCGATTATCAATTTAGATTAGATTGTCTAGCTAGTCTACGATGCAATTAGCTGCTAAAACGTCCCGGAACGAACGTAGCTCCGCGACCGCTGACCTCCAAAGGTTAGGGGGTGTCTCGTTTCAAGGAGATCCGCGGAGATCGAGAGCAACACCATTCACCTAGAATTATTCGTCGACGTTGGCAAAAACGAAGCTACTCACCTTCTTCGCCGGGGGTAGGCATGTTCCGAGTCGACTGGATGGCACCCATTTTCGCCACTCAATTGATCCGGATACGTGACGAGAGAGCCGGTGGTGGCCGATGTAACGCGCAGCCGAGTAGTACTTTTGTCGAGCCGGGGATAGACAGCCACTCGGAAATCTCATGCTTCCACCTCCTCGCGGCGCGGGTACTCATCGAAGAGAGCGTGAGCGAGAGCCCCTCTCATTCGAGCGAGGCTTCGAGGCTTGCCCTTGTTTGTACCGTTCCGTGTCCCGGCTACTTAATCTTCTTTCTATCTGGCCATGTTCTTCCCGCCTGTGCCGCCGCCACCGTTAAGACGTCTCTATCCCAAGGCTACCGGATTTTTCCTCGCGAGGAATTCTTCTCCCCCTCGGCCCTTCCGGCTGTTTATCTTCCCTTTTGTCCCTGGATCGATCACCCCGCTCCCCGAGCCAAACCCTTCGCTTCCGTGTTAGGCCGACTTCCCTCGCGGGAAACTCTCGGACACCTCGCGAGATCTCGCCACAGGGCCTAGCAACCCCTCGACTTTTCCCATCCGCCGCTGGACTTCTGCTCCCGTTGATATTTCACCTGTCGGCGAACATCCTCACGCCGTTTTTTCTTCGACGCGGTCTGCGCTGACGTCTCCGACCAAGTTTCTCATACTACGGATAGTCCTACCTACGGGAACCCTTATAGATGGGTGTTTTCCCCCTTCTTCAGCAAGTTCGGCGATCCGTTTTCACCTGGCCCTCGTCACCGATGTTTTCGACGGCTGAGTAATGGCCGAGAAACGGCATTGATTCGGTCCCCGATCGATCCCGGCCGGTTCCAGCTGTCGCGTTAATTATCGCCACGCCGATTCTCGAATTAATTAATCCCGGCGCGCGGCGCTAATTCGCGGGATAACGGCAAACCGAGCCGCCCGGTCGTTTCTCGTTCACGTCGTAAGTGTCGAGTAACGCTATCGCCGTTCGTTCTGTTCACCGGCCTGGCGGCCGAGCAGAAACCTCGCTGTCGCGCGGATCGTCTGCTGTTAATTAATCGGCTGATCGGGCATATTCAAACGGGCGGTCCAACCAATTGAAATTGTTCGACGCGATGTTCTCCGGCGGAGACAGGCGGCTGCGATCTGAAAACAGACGTTAGTTGCGAATCATTCGTCTCGCTGGGTTTCGGGATTGACGATATTATTATTCGCCGATAGACGATTTTTGTGGTTTCATCGCAATCTTTTTCCTCGGCACCACGAATTTCATGGGAAACACGAACCGAATAGAAAAATCGCGAAAACTTTCACTGGCCTAACCGTGGAGGCTACGTAAACTCTTCCTCCGCAAACACAATATCCTGTTACAACGTTATACACACGTGAACGTGTCCAAACAACGTTCTAGCGTGATACCAGTTACCGCGCCGCTTCGCCTGGACACTTCAATTTATTGTGCAAAACACGGGCTGAAAGCAAAATTTAGCTACGCGCCGGTAAGAACCTTGCACGGCAAGGTTTCTATACTGATGGCTTGTTCCACAGGCTCAGGATTTCTCAACTACCGAAACAAACGTTCGGATAACCGACGTTCTACCGTAAATGGAGCTTCTGTTTTTTGCTCGTCCGGCCGTAGACAACTAGGTGTCCCTGTAAAACCGCGCCGGCGGACAGGGAGCATTTGCATCGCGAGAAACGCGCTCGCTGGAAACTTTTGTATCCGCTTGAAAGACTGCTTCCGCGGTCTGCGCTCGCCTCGGATAACCGGCTTTTCTGGCGAAGCCGAGGGTGCAACGCTGAAAAAGGCGCTGTAAAGGGCTTCCTTTTCGTGCCTCGTGCACAAGATCCACCGCGAATACGCCTTGAATCCACCTCGAATCCACCTTGGATCCTTCTCGAATCCAGCACGGTCTGCGAGCAGCAAACTTTTTCCCTCCTCGTTAACTTCGGCGGGGAGCCGTAAAGCCGTCGGATTCATAAATCTTCCGGCTAATCGCTGGTCCGCTCGCGTGATTCCCTCCTAGTACCTTGTCTCAATTCTTTTCCTCCCCTTTCCACTACTTCCTCAACGCCTCCGGCACTCCAGGTAATTGGAACCGAGCCCCAGATCATTCGGAAAATTAAAGAACGCCTCGGCCGTTTCAGTTTTCCCGTGCAGGTGCTTCCCTCATTCGCTTCACGGTATCGCGATCGCGATTGGCCCGAAACAGTCGCACAGCGTAAACACAAAAGAACTTTGACGATGTTGAATCTCGTTATCACCGACTGCGAGAATTTCACCTGAACAGGTTGGGTTCAGGATCTGAACAGGTAAATTCTCCCTAATTGACCCTCAGATTGTACGCAAAAATGGACGATTTAGGAAGAGAAGATACGATTATTCGGTTTTACTCGGTTTTATAGTTGTTGACAATCGGTGACTATAAAAACGAGCCGCAAGGCTCAAATAATCGTAGAGAAAAAGAACAAAATCAACTCGGAAAGTAGAAGACAAAGTACAGTAAATTCTCCTTAATTTACCCTCAGATTGTACGCAAAAATGGACAATTTGGGAAGAAGAATTATTCGAGTCTTGCGACTCGGTTTTATACTAGTTGACAATCGGTGACTATAAAATCGAATAATCGTACCTCCGCTTCCAAAATAGTCCATTTTTGTGTATAAGCTGAGGGTCAATTAGGGAGAATTTACTATACCTTGTCTTCTGCTTCGATTTTGTTCTTTTTCTCTGTTCGACATTAATCCGTTTCAATAATAAATTTTTCCGCGCAGTAACTTTTCAGCTATTTCCACAAATAACTGCGGATAACGAGAAGAAACTGTCGTACTTTTCTATTTATGTATTTTGGATTTTATGTCTAGCATCTACTAATAACTCCCATATCATTTCAACACTTTGACGGTCGCGTCGCCTATATTTGGGTAACCTTACAATTTTAATCTGATTCGACCTATTTCATACTTTAAATTCGTGAAATTTTCCAAACTGTCGTGGCCAGTCAAATTGTCGAACATCCTTGTCACTAGTAATTTTCCCAGCGGAATAATACAATTTCGAATCTATTTCAACTTAAAAGAGATGAATAACATTCGTATTTAGCGGACGATGTAGGAAATCATCGACACGGATCCGACTCGTTATTATAGGCGATGTGGAAACGCGAAACAAGTAACTTACAATCAGAATTAATTAACGCGTGGTTCGCTGAACAGAACTTTTCTCGTCGAAACAAAATCGATGGTCGCCGTTGAAAACTTTGATCGCCGACATGACCGATGGTTTCCAGAGCGGTGGCCCATTTCTCTAATCCCGAGAGAAAACAGACAGAAATAAAAGCAGTAATCGCGTTTCTCGGATATCGTGCCAGGCGACAAGACAGGACGCCTCCCGACAGGGGGATTCCCGAGAAGAAATCATAATCCGTCAGGTCTCGTTGCCTGTCCCATCTGTCATGACCGGGCGAAACAGTGGCTCGTTGCAGCCCGAAACAACATTTCGTCTCCGGGGGAAAAACAAAAGTGCCGGGCGCAATGGAGGTGACCAAGGCTAGTCGTGATACATGCCAGTCGATAAATTCTTTTTTATCGGTACAATGAACGCGGACGTGCGAGACACGCGGGCAGTTCGATTGAATATCAACGCGTGGGCGGTGGAACGAAAGAAACTGCGTCGGGGACGTTATTCGGGAATGTTATGACAGCGGAATTGCGATTGCAGCTGACGGGACAAGTGCGGGGCGCTGCTTCCGGGACGGAGAGGGCGCTCCACTAGATTCCCAGCGGCCTTTGATCGAGATGCTTCGATACATGCACGTAGATGGTTCAATAAAAACTACCGTCGAACTTCGGTTATCGCGTCGATTCTACCACAAAATTGTTTCCACTCTTCTCTTCTGGGGCGCCTCGCCCTTCGGGAAACGACGTGACCGGGTCGCCGGCGACCGATTCGACACCCCTAAATCATCGGAATAGTCGCGCTCTAGTATCGTTTGTACTTACGAATGTTAGACTTCAAAAATTGACCACTGTAACTGTAACTGCTATCACGTCTCATTTCTTTTCCTTTTGCTTTCTTTCTCTTCTTTTCTTTTCTCCTGTGTATCTTATTTATAAGTTATTAGCAATTTACATTGCTAATAACAGCCCCGTCAGGGTTTCAGTAGCGTCATAATAATAAAGAAAGAACAAACAAAAATAGCCAACTAGTCAAGCAACTGTTTAAAGTAATTAAGGGTAGTTGAAGGACAATAAGCCTCCGAAGGAGGGTGAACGGGGCACCTTTAAAACTAAGACAACACTCGGTGGAAGACAAAGCTCTAACGAAAACAGAGTCAAGTGGCACCGCAAGTTGTTGCATCGCGAGTCGGTGCTCGGTGCACGCCGCAGCGCGCACTTCCGGTTTTCTTGGAATCGATATTCGCTCGCGGGAGCTCATTGTCGTTTCTCGACACCGTTCTTTCCTCTACGCCGTGTCGGCCGCGGTGCGGAATTAGTATTCGTTGTTAGCGTCGTAACAAACCGGCGTAATAATCATTCGTCGCTGTTACGCTTCCGGCTTCGATCCGACCGCATTGTTGCGTTCTGGCGAATCATTGTTTTTCCGCATTAATATTTATCGTTATTACGAGCCTGCCTTCGTTCCGCGCCCGTTATTAATTGCGACCATTATTCTTCGGCTACCCCGTGGTCATCGCTGTCGTCCGGCGTCGGCGGTGTTTTTCGACGCTGCATGCGCTCTTATTGTCGGTCAATATCATTATAAATTTCCTCACCGGGACCGCCGGCAAATTCATGGTCCATTAATTCCTAATTAAACATTTAATCACAGCGATATTAATTCGCCCACCCGCGAGCGATAAAGTTCAATTTCCAGTGGTTTGTGCCAGTTTAAAGGGACCCGGCCGTTTATCACTCTATGTATGTAGAACGTGTTACTCGAAATCAATTTTTGTAATTCCCTTTTTTTGCTAGTCGCCCCGGGTTTCGAATATGCCACGCCGTTTTCGAAGCGACGAACGAAATTTGTATTTCACGAACGATAATAAATTTCGGCTCGCAGCCGGATTTTTTGGGGAAACGCGTTGAACGCGCGCGTTAACGTCGAAACGTACCGCGATTACGATCATCGTTGCAGCCTTGTTACCTTCATTGCTGGGAATCCAATATTCTAAATTCGTTTTTGGATATTCTGCATCTGTGATGAAATACGCTAGGTAAAAAAACATAATATGTACTTTAACCAGTCAGCTGTTTTCGACGAGTCTACACGTCATAAAGAAATGACAATATTTTGTGTTACGACGAGAATTCTCGTCGATGCGTAAAAAGTATTTACACTTTGCTGTCGAGATTACAATTTTAGTGTAAACCGACGCGTATTCGTAAATTTGAAGAGTTTTTGAATATTCGGACGCCAAGACGAGATAAAACGAACGAATAAAAATATATAAACAATTATTATGAAAAAGTCGTTTGCAGTACGAGAGCAAATAGTTGTTCTTCCCTTCGGGACACGTTCGAAGTGCACACTTTTCAAAGAGCTCGCAACAGCTGACCGATTGAAACGGGTTTATATTAAAACCGTAAAAATTTTCGTTTTTCATTCCCGCGAGACCGTGGACGCCGAACGAGATTTTAAACAACGCTACGTTCCCGTTTTATTTAACGGCAATAATAGATCACTTTGTTATCGGGAACCAGTCTATATACCTGGGAATATCGAAATCCTCGCGAATAAAATACAAATTCACCGACTGGATGCAAGCAATATTACATCTACACGCGGCGGTTCGCGCTCGATGTATCGGCGATCGATAGAGACCGCGGGCAGGATTCTCCATCAAGATTCGATTCGTTTCCGCTTTTCCTTCGTTTCATCGCGTCTTTCATCGTGGTCGGGGCAGTTTGTACCTCCTTTCTCCGACGAAAAGCAAACATCGAACAGTGCTCTGCTGCTGGGAACAGAAGCCTCGGATCGCTATAAACAAGCTCCTTGGTTACAAAGGAATGCCAGTAACAAGCCACTGGTTTACGTCGACCTTCACTTCATGTTCTTCGCCAGTGGCCTCTTAACATCAAACCTATCGGTACAGGTCAAGAAGACCGATCAACCATTTTATATTTTCGAATCGTTGAAATTATGAAATCTCTTTTCTGTGAAACGATTGAATAAATCTCTTTGTTCGAAAGGAAATCCTGAAATGGCTAAATAAATTCACTTTCGTCATTCTAATGAAGCAATCAACGTTAATTACTTTTCAAGCTCGGTTGGTTTAAGCCGTGACTGCACAGCCGTTTTTATGGTTTTGCCATCTTTTGTACGCCGTGTACAAAACGCTCGGCAAATTGCGCTCGTTTACAGGCGTACTATACACAGCGTTTTGTACACCGCGTTGTGTCGATTGTATCACGGATTGAAACGTTCCACGAGCGTTTTGAACACGCTGCGTTCAGGAAGCATCGTTTCAGTATAAAAATGGACCCCTCTACCGACAGGCCGTGTATTGCTGCTGCATGTGTGTTGTTAAGGAAAAGAACTCGGAATCGTCGTTGGTGGTTACGTCGACTTAATAGCGTAAAGCTCCGAACAAGAGAGCACGAAACGGCCGCGTAGCCGCGGGCTTTTAGTGTTTATGCTTCTAGCAGAAGCTCGATGATTTTCTCAGGATAATCTTAGAAGTTAGAAAATTTCTTCGGCTGGTAGCACGGCGGTAAAGCCGGTATTTACAGGGGCTTTACACCCGTGGCTCTCCCGAGACGTAACGCGACGGCTCTTCGACGCCAATAAATGCATAACGCGACCCATTCGTGGCGGAAATCCCATTTCGGTCTATATTTTTGCGCGGGAGAGCGCAAGAGTGATGTTATAAGAGTAATACGGTGTGCAATATCTTTGCATCGCGGTGCATTACAGCCGCGGCCGTAAAATGCCGAACAGTATTTAACGACGAAGTCGAGACGGAGAGGAGGGTGACAGGCCGGCGGAACAAAGAGGGACAGATAAGGAAGATCCGACGCTACGGGCGGATTCGAATACGTATAGACATTTTTCTTCGGATCGACAGCGCGTTCCGCGGGCGGAAGGAAAAAGAAAGTAGGGAAAATCGATGGTACACACTGTCGCGGTCCGACTAGCTTGACGCGAAATGAACCATGAACCGTGCGACGAACACACACCGTCAGCAAACTGGCGCGACTGCTGCGGTGTGCTCGCCCGAGCCCGCCAGAACCTGACGCGACGGAATAAAATATATTGTTAGCTCTGCGGGCGACAAATGTTCGGCCATTACTTGTTCCGTAAATTTTATTCACCGCGTCGTGGACCGCAATATTAAGCCGAGCCATAAATTAGTCCGTTACTTCCATATTAATTTTTAAAGCGGCCGAAGCTGCTCGATTTATCTTCGCGATACATCATTCGTTAGCCATCTCGCTATTCGACTCGCAAAACTTTTACAGAATATGGCGGATTACTCGTGTAATCTGGCGGATTACGACGATAAAAAGTTTTGTTTTCCTTTCTTTGTCATTACTATTATTTTCACGTAGTACCAAATGTAGTCCGACGAATTGGAGGAGCGTAAAAAACATTAACGATCGCAGAACTTCGGAAGACGCGATCAGCTGATTAATGATCTTATAGCATAAACAAGAGGTCTGCTGTTGAGAGAGTCTGCTTCGTGTGTTTTCCCTCGCTATCTTTGTATCATTTTATTTGTACCTCCGTTAAGACCAGTGGATTTCATCCGTCGTATGTAATAAGTAATAATAACGGAAAGATCGAGAAATGTTGTTACGTATATCATGACTGTAGTCGCTGCAGGAATTCTTCGAGTGCTTTCTGTAAACTCGGGCAGGTGGAAATAGCCGGGCGTGTTCCAACAAGGTTCCCCCTTTGTTTGCAGTATGGAACTGTTAAATTAAAAGAGGCGAGAGAGAGAGAGAGAGCTGTTCCGAATTTAAACGACTCGACAGTTTGATTAAATACCAAAGAATTCATCTTACGAGAACAGAGTTGGACAATCAAATATTTCAAAGTTTCTGCGGGATAAGAAAGGAGCGCGATACGTCGAGCCGAAGGAACTAAACGCTTTACCATTTATTTAACGCTGTGGTTTATGATTTCCGATTCGTGTCGTTTGTTCCTCGGATTACGCGCAGTAATCATATTCTGGAATAAATCGGAGCTACGCTTTGAATAACATCGGTTTGCGGAAGCGCGAGAAATTGCTTGTTGTTTCTGGTTTCCACCACGTTATTTGTCGAGTCGAGGAACAAGAGTACCTAAATAATCTCGAGTTGATAGAAGAAGCGGTACACGATCGCGAAATGTCTGGCGATAGAGAATTTTCGCAGACCGGCACGGAAATAGACGTCCATTGTGCAACGAAGGCATTTCGAAAGAGAGTTTACATCGATCAAGAAACGAACTACGCGCGAATTGCGCGCACAGTGCGAATCGAGTTATGCTCAAAGCCCAGCGACGGGCTTTACAGCGTTACACATAATTTCCAACTCGTAACTCGGTTATCGAACCGGAAGTTTTATTATTTGGCGATGTTGATTGAATTTATAGAACGCAAAGCGGACCACTTTAACTTCGATTTGCATCGTCTAGTGTTCGCATGACCTCCATACTCTCTTCAGGATTTCTAATCCAACGATTTACAAAAAATCGATTGCTACCTGACTGTTTGAACGAATTATGGTTCATTTAAAATCGATAAGAAAATAGAAAACCATGTTTCAAGCACGTGAATCTTCAACGGTTCTAGACGCCGAATATTCTCTTTCCGCAAGTAACAACTTTCAGATCGAAAAGTTCACTCGAAGTCAACGTTATAGTCGGTGTGGGCGATATATGTAGCTCGCTCCCGAGAACTTACAGAGCAAAGTTTGAAATTGGCGATAGAGTAATCGACGCTGACATCAAAATCGAAGTTCTTTTCACAGAGTACGTCATCGGGCAAACATTGGAATAGTTTTTTCTGGATCGACGGCGATTCCAATAAACCCGCGAGTTCGTTGACACTGCGACTCTATTCTCAATTAACACGAAGAGACCATTGGTTGTTCTTGTTCTTGGCAATTTAGGTCAAGCAATCGCAAAAAACACCGGTATCCACTGAAACCTCCGCGCTGACGCGTCCCGGCACACGTAATCGCAATTGCCGGACTTCTGTAATTTCGTTCGTAGCAGAGTTAAAATGCTGCAAATGCGAGTTCTTCCACTGGAAGTGCATTTGATGAATTTATACAGAATCTTTCATGAATCCTAGATGTGCGAAAAGAGTACGCGCGATTATGATTGTTGCTAGTATTAAGATTGTAACTGCCGGGGGCTGAAACTGACCCGTTTCAGGCTCGCGATTTCGCAACCCGTGAAGCCATAAAAGCCCGCGAGAATACGTTTGGTAAACTGATATCGCAACGGGAGTTAATTGTAGTTTCAACGTACGCATTTGATTCCATATTTCAATCCATTGAATCGTTTGGCACTTGCAACATAGATTTAACCCGTTGCCATATTTCGACGAGTCTGACTCGCGATGAAGATTTTTCGTGATAACCTGTTAGGTACGAATGTTATTCCATTCTTTCAAGTCGGAATACAATTCTGTTCTTTCGACGTCGATATTTAAGTACTCAAACTAATGTAGGCACACGATAAATGCATATTTCTTTTTCTTCGGAAAAATGATCAGAATCGAATAGCTTTTGCTCGCTTTAATTATGAAGAAAATGGTACGGCAATGGATTAATGCTGCCAAGGACCGTGCATCGAGGAAACTCTCGCGAAGCCAATTTCCTACCTCACCGTACATCTACTTTTTGCTAATCGAATTTCTGCAACTTCGCCGAGCCTGTTACGCTGTTTCGATGACCGATCGTGGTCGATAAATGTTACACGATGCACCTACCATGAGTCCACTTTCACCGGTCGATCGTTCTCCAAGAAAAGGGACGAGATCGACGGGACGGCGGCGCAATGGTCAGGATCTGCTCGATCCATTCAACGTTTCGTTGGATCGCTCGTGGCCCCGTGGATCCTGGCGCGATCGAGCATGACACGAGCCGGCGTGGCGTGGCGTGGCGTGGCGTGGCGCGGCGCGACGCGGGCGGATGACAGCGGATGTTCGCTGGATGTTGCGATCGCGCACGGATGTTCGCGTGTTGCAGCGGTCGCGGACGCCGCACGAGTGTCGGCGTCGTTCTCGTTCCTCGGTTCAACGGAACGACAACGCTCGTGCTCTCGAGTATGCGATATTCCGCTCGGCGTCTGCGCCTCGCCGCGCCGCGCCGCGACGCCGGGACGTCGGCGTCGGTGTTCAGTGCTCGCTTTCGACGCGTGCCGCTTCTGTCTGGATCCTCGTGTCCTCTGGATCGCGAACGCGCCTGATCGCGATCGCCGATTCCAAACATAGTTCTATCATAACTTGGTCGTTGTTACTCGATCAGAATTCCTTCTGGTCGAGGACGACACTTTCAGAAAACTTTTCGAAGATTCGATTAGCTATCGAATGACGTACGAGGCATAACCGTCAGGCAATTATTACGAGGAAATCGAAATTGAAACCGCACGAACTTATCGACTGACCCAATACGTACTCTGATACAGACTGAAAGAACTCGAAAAGGCGTAGGTGCCTTTGGTCTTCGTCCGCGCGTTTGTAATTCTTCTCGAATAGCATCGTGATTGCGGTTTGAATATTGGGTTACCACCTAAGTTAGTTAGTTCGATGCAGTCAGTTTGCGTGGGTGGTAACATCGTGCTTCGTCAGAATGTACATATAGAAGTACATATGGAAGTACCGATGAAATTACATTGAATACACTTCATTCTCAAACACATTCGTAGTGTATTGTACACTTACCGAGGACAGACGACTCGCGAAGCAAGCTAACTAAGAGCTTCGAAGTACAGTAATGTCTCCCTAATTGACGCTCAGATTGTCCACAAAAATAGACAATTTGGGAAGAGGAGATACGATTCATTCGAGTCTTAACTATAAAAACGAGTTGCAAGGCTCAAATAACGGTATGTCTTCTTCACAAATTGTCCATTTTCATGGACGATCTGAGCGTCAATTAGGGAGACATTACTGTATAAACGCCGTTCGAGTTCGCGTAATCGGTACTCGGACCATCGACATGCCACCGTGAACCTATTGCTCGGCTTCTGCGAACGAAACTTTTCTCATTTTCGGTTTAGGGAGCTGGAGGTTTCCTCCCTAGATTGTGAGAAGATACGGTTTGCTAGGACAACGCCTCCGCGTGGAGGAGATTATACGGGGTTTTGTAGGGCGATCGTCCGCGACCTTTTCCTTTATCCGTATTTTAAATCGCTTGATAGGTTTTTTCCCTTGGCGGACATGACAAATGGGTGGCCCGAGGGCCTAAAGAGGGGCGCAAGGTCGTCGGTGGATATTGACAGAAAAGGTTATTCCGTACTTGATAATTTGATCGTCCTCCCTTCGCCTGGTTCGCGGCGGCGAACTGTTAATACAAGACGGTCATGTTTATTCAAATCGGATGTATATGTATGCAGGGGTGTTGAAATCAGTGCGCGAAGTACTCCGGGGGGAATCTAATCGAAGGACGTACCATCGATTAAGCCCGATTGAATGGTCGTTCCGGAAAATCAGCATACGATTCAGATCTGCCGGCGCTATAAAAATAAATTGAAACGTCCTCCGATTTTTGGTCTAACGAACGCCGCAGCTTGAGAGTCCTCGGCGATGGAAGCGCTCGGGGGCTGAAACATTTACTTCGAAATTCTTGGACTAGACTCTCGATTGACTTCTGTGCTAAAGAGCTTTGAAGGAGACTTTCTCTCTTCTTTCCTGGCACGTTTCGAATCCGATTGTGAGATCGAATGGAAGGTAATCGAGTCGCGATCGACAATCGAATTCATTTTGAGCACCAACGCTGTCGGGTTCCTGGATCCGCAGGGGACACCTGCTTTTCTTCCGTATTTCATTTGAACCGCGCCGCAGGGGTGTAAATAATTAACCGGTGCACTTTCCTCGACGTTGTGAACGCCTCGAATTAATGTCCCGCTGTATCTCGCTCGTGATGAAACGCCTCCATACTTCTCAACGGAGTGTCGGGTTCAGGGTTCCCCGGGGGAAAAAAACGAACGAACTAAGAAAATTTATGCTCGGTCCGAAATTCTCGGTTCGAAGATTATCGATTCACCGCAGTCTTCTCTACGCAGTCTAGACAGCTCGAACAAAGACGCACGCGAGGTTCACTGTCCTGCGAACGGTCGTCCGACGACAGGTGACACGATCGATTCGCGGTATCTACCACCTGCTTTCCAAGAACCCATGGTCTTCCCCGCGAAGAACCGGAGTCCTCTCATCGATCATCGTTCGCTGGTTTCCACCTATTTTCCCTAGCCCATGACCCAACCAGCACACACCTTCTCCGATAGTTAAGCTCGAACATGCATCAATCTTCCGTGCGCTCAATTATCGCCTTTCCGCAAGCCGAATTTACATCGTTTCACTTCGGATGATTACCATGGCCGTTCCATCTTTTCCAAGATGAAACATCGAAGGCAGTAATTTCCACGAAAACTGAAAATATTAGTTCCGTTCCATTGAATCTTTAACCCTTAGCCGCTCCGTTGGCTCCGCTATGGAGACATCCGTCATTTGTTCCGTAAATCCGAAGGCTCTGCTGCGGAGTCCAATGTGTTTAGCATAATTACACCGAAAATGCTATGTTTTTGTCAACGTTGGCAATTGTTATTTGTAGCGAAAACGTGCTTAGCGTGTGTACCATTACGATTAAAACATTTTTTGCTCATTTTTATACTTAGCAACATAAAATGAATAAAATCGAACGCTTTCACAAGGACGCGTAATCTTTTCCGCTCAAAATAAGACTTCCTTCATCTCAGGCACTTTGCTCCAAAAATGTGCCGGAGTCGCTGGTAGTGATATTTTTCAGAAAAACGCTGTTCAACTTTATTTTAGAACGTCTGAAGAATATTTACCAATTTTTAATTTAATTTAATTATTAATTGAGCCGATTCCAGTGAAGATTAACAATAAAATAAATTCCGGCAAACTCACGCAAAAGATATTTTTGTTTCAATAATTCCATATCCAAACAGAATTCAACAGACGGTTCGTAATGCTAATTTTATAACAAATCGCGTCAAAGAACATGAGGGATATATTTATTTAAGAATTGTGAAGAATATCATTAATAGTAAATTTACCCATTTCGATGAGGATGCATTTGCTGCTTGGAAATTTCGGTCACAATTCACGATGTCGATGCACCGACCTCGCACAATGTTAAGTAGATACCATTACGATTAAAATATTTTTTCCCCATTTTTATACTTAGCTACATAAAATGAATAAAATCAAACGCTTTCACAAGGACGTGTAATCTTTCCCGCTCAAGATAAGACTTCCTCTATTTCAGGCGCTTTGCTCCAAAAAGTGTGCCGGAGTTGCTGGTAGGTAGTACTCGAGAAACGCGTGGAGCGCTAAGGGTTAACCATCGACATACTTCTTCCATCCCTATTACACCAGTCTTGGTTATGGTCGACGAAATGCTCCAGGAACCTCGAATATTTTTGAACCGCGGTTCATCGTGCTCTATACGATGCGTACATTCTTCGACGTCTGGAAAAAATCTGACACTTTCGTAGGTACAGTAATTGGATCGTGGATCTTTACGTAGAAGTCATCCGAGGCATTCTTGGCTTCTTCTAGCGACGTCCTTCTCAGTCCGGCTACTATGCCGATCGTCGCTCCATCCTAAAGAAGGAATACGGGAGCTAATGGAGACAAAGTGGCGGGAGGTCTCGGATCTCCGGAGGCCACGTAGTGCACCCTATGCTGCGAGTGGAACAGTCACGAGGCTGAAACAATTAGACCCGTCGCGTCGCAGCCGCGGACGGTGTTCTCGAATAACCTAATTCCATGGAGAATTCGCAGGCGTATTTTCCTGTTCACTCGCCAATAAGAACGCCATTCGAAACACGACCTTTTTCCGTAGAAAGCAATCGGACTCCGCGGTCCTTCGAAATTATTGCCAATGCTCGAATTAGCCGAGGATTTCCTAGTCTCGAAGGGACGCGATCGCGAGTCGGGTTGCACGGGCCAACGAAGCCCGCGGACAAAAAATGGCTGCCGCGATTGCAGATCGCCGAAACAACTTCGCAGCTTTCATTAAGCGAAGTTACGACGGACGCGATAAACAAACAAAGCTGCCGTTCGACAAAGTTCCCTTTTGTTTGGCAGCCCCAGCTGCCGCTGTTCCGCTCCCTTTCGCGCGCGCGAGCGAGCGGTTTCGTACACGAACAACGGTCCAATCGCTGTTTTTTCATCCGCCCACGCTCGCCTACACCTCTATCCTGTCCCGGCTTTCAGCCGGGATCCGGCGTTGTTTTCCCATCGCGACTTCTCCTCTCCGACGTTGACGGCATCCGCTGACCGAGCCTGAACCCCGGGTCACGCCTCGTCGAGCCCGATCAGCACGCTTCGGCTGCGACGCCTCTTCCCTCTTTCCTCTTCCCTCTACCCTTTTCCCTCCGGGACCGAATTATCGCTGCTAATTGACTTTGCTTTTACCAGCGTTGCACAGAGAAACGTGGCGCGGCGGTTCGACCACCCCTGACGAGATCAGATACCTCTCGTTGCTCCCTTTTACAGAGCCTCGAACCTCCCAGGATCCGCCGCGATATCGGGTCATTCTTTTGTTGTGTAGCTGCGGCCGGTTTGCTTATTTCTCTCGTGGAACTTGCCGGTTCGATATATGTACGTAATAGGTCGGCCCATAGTCGACCAAAGCTATCGAACAGCGGTACGAGACGCATGTAACTGTTGGGCAATTATTGTGTGAGTAATTGAAATCGAAATTAAAACTGCACTGCCTTATGGACCGACCCAATATTTACAGTGGCACTAGAAAATGTCGGTGCACTAAATTTCCGATTATCTGTGTCGATACAATATGCAATAATTACGTTACTGACATTTATATATATATGTTTTGGTTCTCGTATTTCAAGGTGTACGCAGGTTAGGCTGGTGATCGAACGCCAGAAGGGAGCTGGCGCATCGTTTTATCAAGAATTTTAATTGACCGTCTAAAGACCGTCCACGCCTTCGGCAAACTCGGTTACGTTGGCACCATATATTAATAAAATTTACATCGGTTAAGCAGCGAAAATAAACTCTCCCTCGGGACACTGTTGTTACGGCGTTAGTCT